ATATTTCGTCTTTATAATAAATGTTTCGTTTTATTCGATTTTAATTTATCAATTTTACAATTTCTCGACTTCTAAATTTTTCATTTTCCGATTTTTAGTTTCTCAATTTTTAGTCTTCGCTTTTTCAATTCCTCGATTTTTCAATTTTGCAATTTTCAGATTTCCAGTTATCCAATTTTCCGTTTTCCCAATTTTTAATATTTCGATTTTACGATACATGTTTTGTTTTTCGATTTTTCCATTTTTCGTTTCCTTAATTTTTCAAGTTTTTGATTTTTATTTTTCATTTTCTCGATTTTAATATCACAATTTTTCGTTTATTCAATTTTCCAAATTTTCAATCTGCGGTTTTTCAATTCCTTGATTTTCCACTTTTTTTATTTTTCAATTTTGCAATTTTAGGATTTTCAGTTATCCAATTTTCGAATTTCTAAATATTATAATATTTCAATTTTTATATTTCTTAATTTTTATCATTTTTCCGATTTTTCAATTTTTCAAGTTCTTGATTTTTCTTTTTCATTTTTCCGTTTTTTTAATTTTCATTTTCTCGATTTTATATCACAATTTTTCGTTTATTCAATTTTTTAAAATTGCAGTCTTCGATTTGTCAATTCAATTCCTAGATTTTCCATTTTTTTAATTTTTCAATTTTGAAATTTTTGGATTTCCAGAATTTCCACTTATCAGATTTTCCAATTTCTTTTAAATTTCCAATACTTATTTCGATTTTATAATAGATGTTTCGTTTTATTCGATTTTAATTTATCAATTTTTCATTTTCCGATTTTTAGTTTCTCAATTTTTAATCTTCCCTTTTTCAATTCCTCGATTTTTCAATTTTGCAATTTTTAGATTTCCAGTTATCCAATTTTCCGCTTTCCTAATTTTAAATATTTCGATTTTTCCATTTTTCGTTTCCTTATTTTTCAAGTTCTTGATTTTTATTTTTCATTTTCTCAATTTTTTAACTTTCTCTTTCTCGATTTTATATCACAATTTTTCGTTTATTCAATTTTCCAAATTTTCAATCTGCGGTTTTTCAATTCCTTGATTTTCCACTTTTTTTATTTTTCAATTTTGCAGTTTTTGGATTTTCAGTTATCCAGTTTTCGAATTTCTAAATTTTAATTTCGCTTTTGCACTTTTTCTATTTTTATGTTTCTTCATATTTATAATTTTTCGATTTTTCATTTCCTCAATTTTTCAAGTTCTTAATTTTTCTTTTTCATTTTCCCGTTTTTTAATTTTTATTTTCTCGATTTTATATCACAATTTTTTGTTTATTCAGTTTTTCCACTTTTCAATCTTCGCTTTTCCAATTCCAATTTTTTAATTTTGCGATTTTGCAATTTTTAGATTTTCAGTTATCCAATTTTCGAATTTATAAATATTATGACATTTCGATTTTACAATACATTTTTTTTTCGATTTTTATGTTTCGTAATTTTTATCATTTTTACGATTTTTCAATTTTTCAAGTTCTTGATTTTTCTTTTTCATTTTCTCGTTTTTTTAATTTTCAGTTTCTCGATTTTATATCACAATTTTTCGTTTATTCAATTTTTCAATTTTACAATTTTTGGATTTCCACTTATCAAATTTTCCAATTTCTTTTTAATTTCCAATATTTCGATTTTATAATAAATGTTTCGTTTTATTCGACTTTAATTTATCAATTTTCCAATTTCTCAACTTCCAAATTTTTCATTTTTCGATTTTTAGTTTCTCAGTTTTTAATCTCCGCTTTTTCAATTCCTCGATTTTGCAATTTTTTTTTGTTTTTCAATTTTGCAGTTTTTAGATTTCCAGTTATCCAATTTTCCGTTTTCCTAATTTATAATATTTCGATTTTACAATACATATTTTGTTTTTCGATTTTTCCATTTTTCGTTTCCTTAATTTTTTAAGTTCTTGATTTTTATTTTTCATTTTCCCAATTTTTTTTATTTTCATTTTCTCGATTTTATATCACAATTTTTCGTTTATTCAATTTTCCAAATTTTCAATCTGCGGTTTTTCAATTCCTTGATTTTCCACTTTTTTTATTTTTCAATTTTGCAGTTTTTGGATTTTCAGTTACCCAATTTTCGAATTTCTAAATTTTATATTTCGATTTTGCACTTTTTCTATTTTTATGTTTCTTCATATTTATAATTTTCCGATTCTTCATTTCCTCAATTTTTCAAGTTCTTGATTTTTCTTTTTCATTTTCCCGTTTTTTAATTTTTATTTTCTCGATTTCATATCACAATTTTTCGTTTATTCAATTTTTCCACTTTTCAATCTTCGCTTTTCCAATTCCAATTTTTTAATTTTGCGATTTTGCAATTTTTGGATTTTCAGTGATCCAATTTTCGAATTTATAAATATTATAACATTTCGATTTTTATGTTTCTTAATTTTTATCATTTTTACGATTTTTCAATTTTTCAAGTTCTTGATTTTTCTTTTTCATTTTCTCGTTTTTTTAATTTTCAGTTTCTCGATTTTATATCACAATTTTTCGTTTATTCAATTTTTCAATTTTACAATTTTTGGATTTCCACTTATCAAATTTTCCAATATTTCGATTTTATAATAGATGTTTCGTTTTATTCGACTTTAATATATCAATTTTTCAATTTCTCAACTTCCAAATTTTTCATTTTTCGATTTTTAGTTTCTCAATTTTTAATCTTCGCTTTTTCAATTCCTCGATTTTCCAATTTTGTTTTGTTTTTCAATTTGGCAATTTTTAGATTTTCAGTTATCCAATTTTCCGTTTTCCTATTTTTTAATATTTCGATTTTACAATAGGTACATATTTTGTTTTTCGATTTTTCCATTTTTCGTTTCCTTAATTTTTCAAGTTCTTGATTTTTATTTTTCATTTTCCCAACTTTTTAATTTTCATTTTCTCGATTTTACATCGCAATTTTTCGTTTATTCAATTTTCCAAATTTTCAATCTGCGGTTTTTAATTCCTTCGTTTTCCACTTTTTATTTTTCAATTTTGCAATTTTTGGATTTTCAGTTATCCAATTTTCGAATTTCTAAATTTTATATTTTGATTTTGCGCTTTTTCGATTTTTATGTTTCTTCATTTTTATAATTTTTCGCTTTTCATTTCTTCAATTTTTCAAGTTCTTGATTTTTCTTTTTCATTTTCCCGTATTTTTAATTTTCAGTTTCTCGATTTTCTATCACAATTTTTCGTTTATTCAATTTTTCAATTTTACAATTTTTGGATTTCCACTTATCAAATTTTCCAATTTCTTTTTAATTTCCAATATTTTGATTTTATAATAGATGTTTCATTTTATTCGACTTTAATTTATCAATTTTCCAATTTCTCAACTACCAAAATTATCATTTTTCGATTTTTAGTTTCTCAATTTTTAATCTCCGCTTTTTCAATTCCTCGATTTTCCAATTTTTTTTTGTTTTTCAATTTTGCAATTTTTAGATTTCCAGTTATCCGATTTTCCGTTTTCCTAATTTTTAATATTTCGATTTTACAATACATATTTTGTTTTTCGTTTTTTCCATTTTTCGTTTCCTTAATTTTTCAAATTCTTGATTTTTATTTTTCATTTTCCCGACTTTTAAATTTCCATTTTCTCGATTTTATATCACAATTTTTCGTTTATTCAATTTTCCAAATTTTCAATCTGCGGTTTTTCAATTCCTTGATTTTCCACTTTTTTTATTTTTCAATTTTGCAATTTTTGGATTTTCAGTTATCCAATTTTCGATTTTTATGTTTCTTCATTTTTATAATTTTTTGATTTTTCATTTCCTCAATTTTTCAAATTCTTGATTTTTCTTTTTCATTTTCTCGTTTTTTAAATTTTTGTTTTCTCGATTTTACATCACAATTTTTCGTTTATTCAATTTTTCAACTTTTCAATCTTCGTTTTTCCAATTCCAATTTTTTAATTTTCAAATTTTACAATTTTTGGACTTCCAGTTTTCTAAGTTTCCGATTTCTTTAAAAAACCATGATCGAAAAATATGCTTCCAAATCCAACATTGTTTGACATTTACTAATGTTTTTATTATGCAAAACCATTTATACAGGATGTTTAAAAAAATATGAACAACTTAAGTTAACTAGATTAATTCAATTAACACAAGGGCACGTGCCCCCCCCCTTTAAAAAATTATCCGGAAATTTGTGTCATAATTATCAAACCTAATTTTTTTATTTCGCTCCATATGTATAAAGCGGAGACCAAATCATGCCTCATTTAGACGCTTTGTTTCCACCGTTGCCATGGAAACCGTGCGTCTCGCCGCTGTATTTAGCTGGAGTCGGGTCCTGCTCGAACAGTGAAATTGTTTCATTTTAAATAAAAATAATGAATATTTAATAAAAAAATAGTCGTGAATGTATTTTTTTCCGTCACACAATTTCGTCTATTATTTGGTAATAACAGCCTGTTTCATATCTTCATATTTAACTCATCAATCAAATTGTCCCCCATTTCAAAGGGGTCATGAGCCGCCACTGGATTCTACTATCACGGACGCATTTGAAATGTCAAAAATGTGCGTCACTGTAATAACAAGATGGCAAAATAATTAACAAAACATTCTATGATACTTGAAAGTATGCAGAACCAATTTTTATTTTTCATCTAAGCAACTTTTGCGTTTTCAGTGGATCTTTTTTCTCCCTCTCGGTTAATTAAACACAACTGGAAATTTCCAAGACCTCCGCCGCCCCTTCCCACTTCCACGCCCATCCAGCGACCAGCGTTTCCCAGAAACGCATCAAGTACGAGCGAAAAGTCAAAAACGTGCTTACAACTGCAATATTTAGTGGCACACAAAGCGCATTACCATAAACGTACAATGAGCGAGCACCCTTAGCTGGAACTCTTGTTTCTGAGACAAGAGTCCTCAAATCGCGGCCCCCTCCGTCCTTTACTTCGCTTTCATCGGTTCCAACGGAAGCGGAAGTGCCACTATTCTTCGCCGACCATGCAACTTTTATGGGGAATTAAAACACAACGTAATAAAATCCACTTTATTACTTATCATAGCTTCGAACAATCTCTAAACATACACCTATTATTTCTACACAGTTAAATACTTGTACTGCAAACGTACAAAAACAAAATAGAAAAGTGAATACTGACCAATCGTGATATATTTCAACCCTTGAATAATTGGTAGTAAGTGAAAATATAATGGTATTTATGGTACAAAACGTGGCCGGTAAGTCTACCGTCTGTAGCTGTATCGGTTATTCTGGGGGTTGGAATTCGCCGTTTGATACCCATCTCTGTACGGCCCTGGCGGCCGTCTGTTGTACTGGTCGCTCCGTTCCTGGTAATTACCGCGATTCTGGTAATTCTGATAGGAGCTCCTGTTCGGGCCTTGATTGTAGCCGGAATTGTAACTGCCTTGCTGGTAGCCGCCCCTGGAGCCGCTGTAGCTACTGTAGCCGCCACCTCGATTGTACCCACCTGTACAAAACACAGTCAGATTGTCATTCCGAACAGAAACGCGCAAATAAACCTCTCCAAAGCCCCGAACCAGTAAATAAAAATCGCCGACTTAGCATTAAACTGCGCACTCGAAAAGTCACCCTAATAAACCCAACCTAATCCTCAAATTTCATCAACCCCAAACTTCCTCACCGCCCCGCTTCTCCCTTTGATCAAATCACCCCCTCGACCGCACACGTTGATTGCCTCCGTTGACCGGTCCGTGTGTTGGAAATTCGCGAATTTTCCGCCCCGATGCCCCTTCAAATAACTCTCCTTGGAGATCGGCTCCACAATGCGATTTCCATCTAGCCTGGACAATAGCGATCCACGCAAAATCTATTCTAGGACTGCATTTTCGCATGCATTAGCGCCGACTTGACCCCAAATCGAAGAAAAACCTGCCTTTCCGTGCTCTCTGCCCTGCCGACGGCACGAGGACGCAGCCCGGGGAAAGTGCGTTTTTCGCGCGATGACGGCGCGGAGGGGCGGCGACGGCGGCGTGATTGTCAAATTAGGCGTGTCAGTGGTGGTGACGGCCGCACAAAAGCCTCAATTACGCGCTCTGCCGCCGGCAGAACGGTGTCATTGTTGCGTCACACCCACAAACAAGGGCACAATGCCCGACAAATTGCTTGTTTTCGGTCGGACGATGCGACGGCGGTGGTTGCGGCGGTGAATTTTCAACAGATTAAGATTCGGGAGGCGATAACGGTCACAAACAGGCAGGCATATATTAATGTGCGGGGGAAAGGCGGATGACGTAGTGCGCTCCGAAATAAATAGACGGGACGAGTTGCTAAAAAGGGCCATAAATCTGAATGGAGAAGTTGAGTTTTATTATTATTACTATTTTTTTTTTTAATATACAAAGTTATGGAAAACAAGATATTACTAAAAATGACCGGCAAGGTTTACTCAACAAGATGAAAATACAAATTTTGGGTAATATTTTACTGTCTACGCGACTATTAAAAAAAAAATTATTAAAATCTTCGTTTTTTTTAACGTTTTAAAAGCTGCATGAACTGTTACTATTATTGAATTTAAATTTTAAAGTTGGAGACACCATCGAATACCACAAATCGCCATTTTGTGTTCTTCTTCTGGCAATTTTACATAAACGGATGAATTTGAACATGTTATAGGCAACCCTTTATACACGTTACACATTCAGCTGTATCTCAAATTTTCCACTTGTATTCGACATATTTCCCAGTGTCGGATTCAGGACATGGGAGTACACCGGGAAATTTACAAAGTGGGGCCCTGTGGTATTCTATACAGATGTTCCTTGGGAATTATTATTACTGTTATTATTTTCAGTTTTGCTGGCGACACTGACGTTCTGAAAAAATTGTATTGTTTTTGGAATTTTGATGACGCTACCAAGAAAAACAAAGATTGTAAAAATATTGTAGAAGGTTATTTTGACAGAACTTCCCATGCTTTTCAAGTGTGGTCCGCTTCTTTAAAAGATTATAAAATTAAATTCTGCAATTTTCGTTTTGTGATAACTGTTAACCTCTATAATTAATATCCCGGTGAAAAACAGTCTACACATATTAAAACAAAAAGGTAAAATGTAAGCCCGCCCACCCGCCCTGTCTCAATTGTGATGATTTTTTTTATTCGCCGTAAAGCAAGGGGGCGGAGCTTAAATGGAAAAAATATATGTCTTTACAAGAAATTATAAAAAACATCTTTTGGAGCATCGTGTTGTTCAAAAAATACCATGTATTTTAAGAAACAAAAACAAAATATAAACCCCGCCCACCCACCCTATCTCATTTGTGATGATTTTTTTTATTCTTGGAAACTTGAAACACGTTCAAAATGGTTAATTTTTGTAAGGAAACATGAATTTTGCAATAAGGCTCCGCCCCAAAGTCTGCCAACGAATAAAAACTTCATTACTATTTAGATCTCGGCAGGTATGGGTGGGGCTTAATCTTTGGCTTAAATTTTTTTTAAATACATTGTACTTATTCTGTGAATAACACGATACACAAAAACATGTCTTACTTGGTATTTTTTTGTAATAATAAGGATTTTGCAATTAAATTTCGCTCCTTTGGCTCTCGACGATAAAAAAAAATCATCACAATTGAGATAGGGCGGGTGGGCGGGGCTTATATTTTGCCTTTTTTCTCAACTTTTTAACTTAAAACATGCTTAAATGGGTAAATTCTTCAAGACAAATATGCATCTTGCAATCAAGCCCCGCCCCTCGACTTGACAACGAATGAAAAATTCATCACAATTGAGAATTGAGATCGGGGCGGGTAAGAATGTGGCCTAATGTTTGGCTTTATTTTTTCTTAATATACGTAGTATTCTTTGAACAACACGACACTCAAAAACATGTTTTCTATTTCTTGTAGAAATAAGGATTTTGCAATTTAGTTTGCAATTTCCATTCCTCCATTTTTCGATTTTCCTTTTTCAATTTTTAAATTCTTCAATTTTCCGAATGATTAAATTTTACAGTTTTCACTTTTTTGATGTTTCGATTTTTTTACTTCCCGTTTTTATATTTTTTAGTTTTTCGATTTTGTGCTATTTCGATTTCTCAGTTTTTCGATTTTTCGACTTTTTCGATATTTTGATGTTTCAATTTTTCAATGTTTCAAAATTTCAATTTCGGTTTTCGGTTTTTCAATTTTTCGATTTTTCATTTTTTGATTTTTTAAATTCTAGATTTTTAAAGTCCTCGATGCCTAGTTTTTTGATTTTTTTAGTTTTCGATTTTTTTAAATTTTACGTTTTCAATTTATCCATTTTCGATGTTACGACTTTTTCATGTTTCGATTTCTCGATTTTAATGTTTTTAATATGTTCTTAAACTTTTCGATTTTTCGGATTTTTTATTCCTCAACATCTCGGTGTTTGGATTTTTAAAATTTTTCGGCCTTTCGATTTTTCAATTTCTGGATTTTCCAAATTTTCAATTTTGCAACATTTCAATTTTTGATATTTTCAATTTTTCCATATTATTTTTAGTTTTTTTTAGAAGAAAATAAGAATTTTTTTGCAATTAAGCTCCGCCCACTTGGCTCACGCTGAATAAAAAAATCATCACAATCGAGATAGGGCGGGTGGGCGGGCTTACATTTTACCTTTTTTTCTTAATATGTGTACCCATCTTTTCACAACAGGAAACTTAAAACATGTTTAAAATGGTAAATTTGTATAGGGAAATATCGATTTTGCCATTACGCTCCGCCCCTCGGTCTGACAACGAATGAAAAATTCATCACGATTGAGATCGAGACGGATGGGTGGGACTTCTCTATTGCTTTTCATTTTTAATTAATACATATAGTTTTCTTTGTATCACACGATTAGTTACGAACATATTTCACATGATAATTTCTCGTAGAAAAATAAAGATTTTACAATTAAGCTCCGCCCCTCGGCTTACGACGAATAAAAAAAATCATCAGAATTAAGATTGGGTGGGTGGGCGGGGCTTATACTTTGTTTTGTTTTTCTTAATACAAGAAACTTAGAACATGGTCAAAATGGTACATTTTTGCAAGGAAATATGAATTTTACAATTATGGGGCGGAGCCTAATTGCAAAATCGATATTTCCTCATACAAATTTTCCATTTTAAACATGTTTTAAGTTTCATGTTATGAAAAAAAGTCTACATATATCGAAACAAAAAGGCAAAATATAAACCCTCCCACCCACCCCATCTCATTTGTGATGATTTTTTTAATTCGCCGCAAAGCAAGGGGGCGGAGCTTAAATGGAAAAAATATATGTCTTTACAAGGAATTATAAAAAACATCTTTTGGAGTATCGTGTTGTTCAAAAAATACCATGTACTTTAAGAAACAAAGACAAAATATAAACCCCGCCCACCCACCCTATCGCATTTGTGATGATTTTTTTTTATTCTTGGAACCTTGAAACACGTTCAAAATGGTTAATTTTTGTAAGGAAACATGAATTTTGCAATAAGGCTCCGCCCCAAAGTCTGCCAACGAATAAAAACTTCATTACTATTTAGATCTCGGCAGGTATGGGTGGGGCTTAATCTTTGGCTTTAATTTTTTTTTAAATACATTGTACTTATTCTCTGAATAACACGATACACAAAAACATGTCTTGCTTGGTAATTTTTTGTAATAATAAGGATTTTGCAATTAAATTTCGCTCCTTTGGCTCTCGACGATAAAAAAAAATCATCACAATTGAGATAGGGCGGGTGGGCGGGGCTTATATTTTGCCTTTTTTCTCAACTTTTTAACTTAAAACATGCTTAAATGGGTAAATTCTTCAAGACAAATATGCATCTTGCAATTAAGCCCCGCCCCTCGACTTGACAACGAATGAAAAATTCATCACAATTGAGAATTGAGATCGGGGCGGGTAAGAATGTGGCCTAATCTTTGGCTTTTTTTCTTAATATACGTAGTATTCTTTGAACAACACGACACTCAAAAACATGTTTTCTATTTCTTGTAGAAATAAGGATTTTGCAATTAAGTTTGCAATTTCCATTCCTCCATTTTTCGATTTCCTTTTTCAATTTTTAAATTCTTCAATTTTCCGAATGATTAAATTTTACAGTTTTTACTTTTTTGATGTTTCGATTTTTTTACTTCTCGTTTTTATATTTTTTGGTTTTTCGATTTTGTGCTATTTCGATTTCTCAGTTTTTCGATTTTTCTACTTTTTCGATATTTTGATGTTTCGATTTTTCAATGTTTCAAAATTTCAATTTCGGTTTTCGGTTTTTCAATTTTTCGGTTTTTCATTTTTCGATTTTTTAAATTCTAGATTTTTAGACTTCTCGATGCCTAGTTTCTTGATTTTCTTAGTTTTCGATTTTTTTAAATTTTACGTTTTCAATTTATCCATTTTCGATGTTACGACTTTTTGATGTTTCGATTTCTCGATTTTAATGTTTTTAATATATTCTTAAACTTTTCGATTTTTCGGATTTTTAATTCCTCGACATCCCGGTGTTCGGATTTTTAAAATTTTTCGGCTTTTAGATTTTTCAATTTCTGGATTTTCCAAATTTTCAATTTTTCAACATTTCAATTTTTTCATATCATTTTTTTAGAAGAAAATAAGGACTTTTTTGCAATTAAGCTCCGCCCACTTGGCTCACGCTGAATAAAAAAATCATCACAATCGAGATAGGGCGGGTGGGCGGGCTTACATTTTACCTTTTTTTCTTAATATGTGTACCCATCTTTTCACAACAGGAAACTTAAAACATGTTTAAAATGGTAAATTTGTATAGGGAAATATCGATTTTGCCATTACGCTCCGCCCCTCGGTCTGACAACGAATGAAAAATTCATCACAATTGAGATCGAGACGGATGGGTGGGGCTTCTCTATTGCTTTTATTTTTTAATTAATACATATAGTTTTCTTTGTATCACACGATTAGTTACGAACATATTTCACATGGTAATTTCTCGTAGAAAAATAAAGATTTTACAATTAAGCTCCGCCCCTCGGCTTACGACGAATAAACAAATCGTCAGAATTAAGACTGGGTGGGCGGGCGGGGCTTATATTTTGCTTTTTTTCTTAATACAGGGTGTTATTGAAAGGTGCGTACAACAAAATTGCCAGTTATTCGCAAAGTCAAAGAAGTCTGAAAAACTTATTTTGTGTTATCAAAATTATAAGGGGAAAATTAACCCTTATCCAAGCTTTTCAGACGCTACTGAAGGATAAATAGGTAAAATTAATTATTATTTTAATAAATCCTAGCAAGTGTAACAATAAAACTTTTGTCAAGAAAAAATGTTGCTATAGAAACGAAAGATGATCTTTTTATCAGAGGCGTACAACCAATTTGGACACAAATTTTAATAATTTTTATCTCTAAAAGGAGAACACTTTTACCTGAACTTTTTTTTTACTTTTAGCACTCATACTTCGAGACCAATTGTCAATTTTATTTTGTACGTACCTTTCAATAACACGCTGTATAAAAAAACTTAGAACATGATTAAAATGGTGCATTTTTGCAAGGAAATATGAATTTTACAATTATGGGGTGGGGCCTAATTGCAAAATCGATATTTCCTCATACAAATTTTCCATTTTAAACATGTTTTAAGTTTCATGTTATGAAAAAAAGTCTACATATATCGAAACAAAAAGGCAAAATATAAACCCTCCCACCCACCCCATCTCATTTGTGATGATTTTTTTAATTCGCCGTAAAGCAAGGGGGCGGAGCTTAAATGGAAAAAATATATGTCTTTACAAGGAATTATAAAAAACATCTTTTGGAGTATCGTGTTGTTCAAAAAATACCATGTACTTTAAGAAACAAAGACAAAATATAAACCCCGCCCACCCACCCTATCGCATTTGTGATGATTTTTTTTTTATTCTTGGAACCTTGAAACACGTTCAAAATGGTTAATTTTTGTAAGGAAACATGAATTTTGCAATAAGGCTCCGCCCCAAAGTCTGCCAACGAATAAAAACTTCATTACTATTTAGATCTCGGCAGGTATGGGTGGGGCTTAATCTTTGGCTTTAATTTTTTTTTTAAATACATTGTACTCATTCTGTGAATAACACGATACACAAAAACATGTCTTACTTGGTAATTTTTTGTAATAAGGATTTTACAATTAAATTTCGCTCCTTTGGCTCTCGACGATTAAAAAAAATCATCACAATTGAGATAGGGCGGGTGGACGGGGCTTATATTTTGCCTTTTTTCTTAACTTTTTAACTTAAAACATGCTTAAAAGGGTAAATTCTTCAAGACAAATATGCATCTTGCAATTAAGCCCCGCCCCTCGACTTGACAACGAATGAAAAATTCATCACAATTGAGAATTGAAATCGTAGCGGGTAAGAATGTGGCCTAATCTTTGGCTTTATTTTTTCTTAATATACGTAGTATTCTTTGAACAACACGACACTCAAAAACATGTTTTCTATTTCTTGTAGAAATAAGGATTTTGCAATTAAGTTTGCAATTTCCATTCCTCCATTTTTCGATTTTCCTTTTTCAATTTTTAAATTCTTCAATTCTCCGAATGATTAAATTTTACAGTTTTCACTTTTTTGATGTTTCGATTTTTTGACTTCTCGTTTTTATATTTTTTGGTTTTTCGATTTTGTGCTATTTCGATTTCTCAGTTTTTCGATTTCTCTATTTTTTCGATATTTTGATGTTTCGATTTTTCAATGTTTCAAAATTTCAATTTCGGTTTTCGATTTTTCATTTTTCGATTTTTTAAATTCTAGATTTTTAGACTTCTCGATGCCTAGTTTTTTGATTTTCTTAGTTTTCGATTTTTTTTAAATTTTACGTTTTCAATTTATCCATTTTCGATGTTACGACTTTTTGATGTTTCGATTTCTCGATTTTAATGTTTTTAATATATTCTTAAACTTTTCGATTTTTCGGATTTTTAATTCCTCGACATCCCGGTGTTCGGATTTTTAAAATTTTTCGGCTTTTAGATTTTTCAATTTCTGGATTTTCCAAATTTTCAATTTTTCAACATTTCAATTTTTTCATATCATTTTTTTTAGAAGAAAATAAGGATTTTTTGCAATTAAGCTCCGCCCACTTGGCTCACGACGAATAAAAAAATCATCACAATCGAGATAGGGGGGGGTGGGCGGGCTTACATTTTACCTTTTTTTCTTAATATGTGTACCCATCTTTTCACAACAGGAAACTTAAAACATGTTTAAAATGGTAAATTTGTATAGGGAAATATCGATTTTGCCATTACGCTCCGCCCCTCGGTGTGACAACGAATGAAAAATTCATCACGATTGAGATCGAGACGGATGGGTGGGGCTTCTCTATTGCTTTTATTTTTTAATTAATACATATAGTTTTCTTTGTATCACACGATTAGTTACGAACATATTTCACATGGTAATTTCTCGTAGAAAAATAAAGATTTACAATTAAGCTCCGCCCCTCGGCTTACGACGAATAAAAAAATCGTCAGAATTAAGATTGGGTGGGCGGGCGGGGCTTATATTTTGCTTTTTTTCTTAATACATATAAAAAAACTTAGAACATGATTAAAATGGTGCATTTTTGCAAGGAAATATGAATTTTACAATTATGGGGCGGAGCCTAATTGCAAAATCGATATTTCCTCATACAAATTTTCCATTTTAAACATGTTTTAAGTTTCATGTTATGAAAAAAAGTCTACATATATCGAAACAAAAAGGCAAAATATAAAACCCTCCCACCCACCCCATCTCATTTGTGATGATTTTTTTAATTCGCTGTGAACCAAGAGGGCTGAGGTTAAATGGAAAATACTTTTTTTTACAAGAAATTACAAACATGTTTTTGAGTATCGTGTCGTTCAAAGAATACCATGTATATTAAAAAAAAAAGGCAAAATATAAACCCCGCCCACCCACCCCATCTCAATTGCGATGATTTTTTTATTCTTGGAAGCTTAAAACACGTTTAAAATGGTAAATTTTTGTAAGAAAATGTGAAAACGAATTATATATGTTATATTTAAAGCACATAACGAACGGGAAAAATATAGACAATTTCAATTTCTCAATATATGCTTAACTTCGACTGTTTATGTTTATACTTGGACCGAATTCGACTAAAATATTTGCACGACTTCACAGCATTCGGTTTTTGCAATTTCAATTTTGATTTTTTTTTCCAAAAATCTGGATGTCAAAGGCAAAAACTCAACATGGATTAATAAATCACACATGCAAGAATCTGCTATTTTATAAGATTTCAAGAAGATTTTGTTTTTTGATTTATTATATTATTTATCATTTTTAACAGGCCAATTTTGACGTTAAAGTGTTTTTCTTATTATTTTTTTTTTATAAAAATCTCTAAGTCACCGGTTTCTATATGAATCCGCTGTAATCATGGTCAAAATCTTAAGAAAACCACAACGTTTAAAAAAATAACCTTACAAATGGGGCGAAATGTCAAAAAAATGCATTAAAAAAACTTCACGACAAAAATTGACTTTTTTATTTTATATTTTCAGGAATATTTATTGCATTTGTAATTGTAGCATCTTGCATATGTGAAAAATGTAAATAATTGTGTAAAAGAAATAATTAATTTATGCCATATTTTGATCCTAATAAAGATATTATTTAAATAAATTCTTCTACTAACAAATATTTGATATCACTCTAAAATAGTTTGTCAGTGTAAGGATTTTTTTTTGTTGATTGAACTGTTTTCAGGAGCTTAAAACATTAAAAAGCCGCACTATGACTATAATACATCTATATTAACATAGTTTTATCACAGAAAAAAAAAGTTACACCTCGTCTAGCGAGTCCCCTCATCATTCAGTACAAAAATTACCACATTTCAATGTTTACTCTAATTTATCCCAAATTTCCACAAAATAAACAACAATCAAATTCTACCACATCTTTCCACCTTTTTTTCCGAACCTCTCAACCCACCCTCCCCCGAGCGCTTCCACACCGATGACGTAGCAAATTCGGCAGGGAGGCGCATTTATTGGTTACCGTATAAACAAACCCCGCCGTCTCCCTGATTTGGGCAATAACGCCATAACACACCCAACGTTGTATTAACGCAGTGTGCACTGACTTAAAACCGATTTAATTGCAATCGTATAATAATGGAAGTACGTGAGGGTCACGTGCCGCAGCAGACGCGTGCCTCCAATCACCTATTAAAACAAACAATTGACCCTTCCTCCGACCGCCCCCTACCCCATTGTCTTGACGTCAACAACAGCGCGTCGTCATCGAGGGCTCCTCGCAATATCAACGTCGGATTTAATCGTCCGATTCGAGAGAAAAAACCAATCACCCGACCCTCGCTCGACTTAAAACGAAAATTATGGGTATTATTTCTGTACAGGGTTGATGATGTTTGAAATGACGCGCCAAAATTTTCATTGACCAATGGCGTACTCACCGTAATCGTTATCCCGTCTTGGATAGTTGTTGCGTCTGTCGAGGTTGGCGGGCGGGGGGACGTGCGAGTACTGTCCTGGATTGGGTGTGTGGTGACCCAGCATTCTGTGACCGGCGTCTCCCAGGGTGGCCCTGATTCATAATTTTTACTCAATTCAGTTTGTTTTGTTTAATAAATAAATACCTTGTTGTTGAACGAACCATTCCTATAAACGGGCGCCAGTTTTTGCTAGCTTCTGGATCTAGGTCTGTTGGTTTTAGGACGCGTGGGGGGTCAATGGCACCTTTTAGTCGCTTAGCGGCGAATATAAATCCAGAGGGGTACTTAGGGTCGCGGAAATTGACACAGCAGACCGTGTTGTTGGCGATACCTTCTAGACCAACCACTGGAGAATCCAAGAAGCTGTAATTAAGTTAGTGAGAATTCGTCTTGAATAAATTAAAGTTATATTCACCCCCCATAGGCGACGTTCTCCTCCGCCAACAAAACCGTCCCTTGCATCTGCTGTATCGTCACGTGAACCTCCATCTTGGGGCTAATTTTCTGCGCGTACAACTGTTTCAACTGATTATACCCCGGGTTTTTAGCCCCCACGTACAACCTATCCTCCCCTCTCACGTTCCGCTTGATTTCCTGCGGCGACAGCTCGTTGTACAACGACGCCAAAGCCTTAAACAGCCTCTCTTCGTTCACGAAAGGCAGCAGCGCCACCCCCTGCCACGCGAATTTCTTCCCATTCAAGTCAATCTTAAAGTCTTCAGGATAAAAATCGATAATCGGAGATTCCTGCAACGAAAGCGTTATTAATGTCGACTTCGCCGGAACGAATACCCACAGGATCAGACATCAAAAATGCCCATGGCTGCGGCACGTGCTTACTGCTCGCCGCCGGAAAAACACCCATCAACTGTTCTAAAGGCCGGAACTGAAATTACACATCCGTTATTAAACCCAGTCGCAAAAAAGGCGACACAAATTACTGGTTCCGAGTCTTGCTCAAATTCGGTGCTCAGCCCTGCAATATGAACAAAATCTGAAGCAAATGGAGCGTAATGGTACGGAAAATACCATTTCCAAGAGGCACAGCCTTGGTAGTAGTATCGCAGGACCCAGCAGAGGCCTCTGACGTAGTGCAAGGCTACGTTATTCCTAAAAGAACAACGGTTGCGTTTTTTGGAATTCAATTCCAAATACACACCTGAAGTCTAAATTGTCGGGACTTGCGTCGAATTTAGACTCGTAATAACGGTCCTTGAAACCGTCTTCCCACAGTCTGACTTCGTCATGGGCTTGATCGTCGTCACTGTCTTTGTCTTCGTCGTCTTCGTGGGGGCGCTTCTGGCCACGATTGCTTTGCTGTTTGTCGACGGGGGTTAGCATTGACTCTAGGGGTGACTGTGAGTGCATTCCCGCCTTACGAATGGCGAAGGCTTCTTGCCGAACGTTGACTACAGGCGTCGTTTGTCCTAGAGACTAAATTACAAAAAAATAAAGTAAAAACCGAACTGTTTCTCGGAACTTACTCTAGGCGCAAACTGCGTTCCTTTAACCAACTCCCAGTTCGGTTTATACTCGTTAAACCCGTCAGTCCTCCTCCTCTTCGCCTTCTCTCGAGCCTTAAACTGCAACTCCTTCTGTTGGCGAGTTTTAAAAATCTCGTCCTCGGCTTTTCCCAGTTCGTTCATAATCAGCTGAACCCGTTCCAGATTTACATCGCCGCTATTCGTCAAATACCCCTACAACCCCAAATCAGCACCCACCAACCAAAAATAACCTACTTTACCCCAGTTTTGTAGACACAGTCCTTGTAGAGCCTCACCAAGCGATCAATCGCCCCTTCCCTGATTTCCAAACTGGGTAAATGAGGCAGAAAATCATTACCAACAAAGAAACACATAAAAACCCAATCGTCCAAAACCCGCTCAAACTCATACTTGAACGGCAAATTGGGCATAACCAACTCCCGTTCCAAGTATTCCTTCAGGACGTTCAAGCGCACGAAAATGTAGTCAGTTTCAGCGGACACTTTCTGCGAGTCGGTCTCAGCGCTCGCAGCGCCCCCTACACAATCTTTCATCTCGTGACCTAATTGACCGCAGATTTCGCACGGCTTGGGCTTGTTGGGCTTAAACTCCTCTCTGATTATGGTGAAGTTGGGTTCATGGGTCGCCAAACCCAACATGATCAAGTCGGCGTCGGCCCCACACAAACAGTGTTGGGTGTTGGGGTCGTGGTCCGGCTGTGACCTCTGCCTCCTAATATAGTCCATGATTTTGTGCTCACCTAGACAAAAACACGAATAAGTCATACTTTTTTTTTATATAAATATGTACTAACCTTCTCCAGGGACATTCGCGTCCGACAAGATCACCTTAATCCCCTGCCACCCCGGATCGTTGTTCAGCCTCTCGTGCACGTAATAGTGCAAACACTCCGACAACCTGGCCATGAACGGCGTCCCCGGCGTGATGCAATTCGAGTCGAAGTGCTCCTCTTTGGGTTTCTCGTCGGGCAACTTCGCCCCTCTTAGAAGCAACTCGGCGCGGATTCTCTTAATCTCGTTGATTTTCTCGACGGTTTCTTTGGATGCCCGGAAGCGACGTGACCTTTGCTGGTTCATTTTAGCCCGGGGGGCCACGCCGTCGATGGCCATGTACAGGAGCTTCCTGGGTCGCACGATGTTGAACATCCTGTCGATACACTCGAAAATGGCCACCATCATCTCGTCCTCGTTGCGGGGCGCCGGCCTGTCTTCGGGGTGAGTGCACGGGTGGATGATCCCGTTCATGTCCAAGTACAAGTTGTCGAATTCCACCCCGTTGGGGTTGGGCTCGGCGGAGTTGGTGGGAACGCGGACTCCATTCACGTCGACGGCCTGAAAGCAATTTAGTGTTTTTGTAAGTACTTGGTCAAAAATTGGAAAGGGGGTGTGGATGTTTAAAATTCAAAGTGGTGAAACGCTCGTAACGATTAATGAAGAATCCACGACGTGCAATGTTCGTTATTTGGTGTTTACCCAAGTGTTTGTGAAAACTTATCAAGGAAAAAACGGTGACATAACCTCACTTTTTGCTCGATGCAGTGGACTATCACGGATGGGTATTTGCGGCTGAGCCATCGAAAGAACGCTGGTACACCCATCGTGGAACGTCGAATCAAAGGTTAGAAGTGACTTTTTTGGTAAATTCGGATTTTGATGGAATTAATGTCGCGAACACATAATGGCGGCTTTGTCCAATGCGCGCGCCATAACCTAAAATGTCAACGACGGACTGTCATCTGTCAATTTCAAGAATCAATTTTCTAAATTGACCTAAAAAATAATAAAATACGTCGTTTCAAGCGCTCAAAATTTATTGAACTTCTCGTAAATACATTATTAAACAAAAGCTATGGAATGTCTTGGCTGTCATGGTTGATTTATTCAGTTTTCGGGACGTACGATAACACGATCGCAGACTTCGAAGAAATGGGGATTGATTTGGCGTCATACTTCACGTTGACGCTTATATCAGTTTCGTTGTAACTCTTGGTGAAGAGTAACACCGTGACTTCGCCGTCGTGTGGTATTTCTTGGACATACGCCGGGAAGTTCACCACAGTGCGATTTTCTGAAGGGTTGAAGGCCACCAGAATGCCGGGGTTGCCCGCCATCACCCTAAATTCAAACAAATCATTAATTTAATTATTGCAATTGTTGAATAGTTTCCAAATTAAAAAAATCAATGACATACCTGCATCTAATTCCAGAAGCAATGACAAATTTAAAAATTAACAATCAAAATTGAAGTTATTTTAAGTCACTCACCTGCTGAACGCAAAAACTGTATCCTCGTTGATGGAATACATATTGAAAGAGCCCCTCATAATCGACGGCGAATCTCGTATTTTCAACAGATCTTTGTTCGCCAAAGAACTTGGGGCTATTAGGGGCGTACCCGGCAGTAAATACGTGACGATGTCCCATTCACTACTCGAGTTGGCTTTCCACAACGGCCACGTGAAATTATTAGCAGTGAATGTGGTGTTCACAATGTGCAGCATATTGGCAACGTTAATATTTGGCTTGAAGACAAAATGTGACTGAAGTGGAAGATCCACAATGTAGGAACTATTCAATTTATAAGCCTCAATGTTAGCATTCAAATCCTCGCTTATCATAAACGGCCCGTTGTCCGTTTTATTTTTCACCACGTCGCGCCACTTCTTCAACAAAGGTCCTAGATCATTGAGATTCTCTGTGTGAGAATGAATATAGAAACAATAATCATTGAGGACGCAGTCACCAGGGTTCTGAACATTCACTTCATCCGTGAATTTCTCATCCACCAATAAATTCGAGGCCCCCCTCAACCTAATCCCTCCGACTCCATACCGTAGGAACTTGTTAATTATGTCAGAAAAGCGGTCAGTCACGTTCGGATTACGGAAATTGAGATGGGGCTGCCCCGTCGGCGCGTAGTAATACTCATTCCTCTTGTCCGAGAATTTCCACGACGAGTTATTATTCATTGAAACCCAGTTATTAGGGGGGTGCGGACCTTCTCCGTTACTCATGTCTTTCGGCGGCTGCCAAATATAGTAGTTGCTGAATTCGGGGTCCTTATACTCAGACTTATTAAACCAAACATGAGAGTAGCCCGCTTCCACTTCCATGATGACGTTAATATCTTCATCTTTGTACTTTTTGAGAGATTTGATGAAATCGTGCGTTTCGTCGAAATCAATGTAGGCATCATCAGGCCATGAAACTATGACCCCAGTGACAGAGAGATCCTTCAATTTTTGTACAATGGAATCGGAATTGTCTGAGTCTTGGTCGACCTCGGCGATGGGGCCTTTCTCCCACCAGGTCCTAGGGGGTGGAGGGTTGCACTTCGGGGCAGCTAGGATAATCAAAATGGCGCCGAGGAGCATCAACCCCCACAGAATCCAAAACGTGATGAAGAGAAACCAGCGCAGACGCACCCAGAAGGGGTCATTCGCGTATTTCATCAACTCTTCTTTTGTGAGACCCACGAAGGCGGTTTTGAGTTCGCCTGAAATAAACCACGATAATTCTGCTTTTTTAACCAGTTCATATGACATTTTTCGCTACATGTTAAAATTTAAAGCAAAGTTTGTCAACCCGTCCCCTTCCATAAATTTCAACTTTACAGTTTTAATCAATACAATTAACGTTTATCACATGACATAATTTCACGCGCTTTTTTATGCTTTATCGCGCTAAATCGCATTCCACAACAATCCTGCTCTTATTGCGTCACATTATGCAACCCTGACGCCCAAGCGACAACTCTTGCATCATTAAAAAGCACTCACCAATGTCAAGTTTAGCGTCGCCGTTCTGCTTCTCGTTCGGCGAAACTTTAACTTCTTCCTCCTTTGGTAGCATCTTCTCGTCGGCGCCGTCCACCTCTGGAGTGGCAGGCTTCGATTTCACCAAGCTTTTGGGTCGAGTGACTGCCTCCTCTGAAAATAGCAGACTCGTTTTATTTTTAAAAACCAGTCTGATGCAATTACATACCTTCCATGTCAGCCTCGGGGATCGCCTTGTAACTCGTGGGCACGTCCGGAGTCGGCTTCCCCGTCAATTCCAGCTTGTTGCCGTCCATCTCGGGTTATTGTTGTGCAAATTCGGGATAACGACTACGCCCTTGGGACAATCGATAATGGACAACGTGACCGCCACCACGCGAATCCGACCAGCATGTGGTCGATTTTTCAGCGTGTGACGGATGAATCAGAGTGGAGGGGGTACCAACCGTTTTTGTCTAACGGAATTCCCTATCGAGTCGCGGTTTTAGACGGGGTTAAATTCAATAGAAACAGCGGTTAGGAATTTTCGCAGCACCGGAAAACGCCACAACGGTTTAAACTAATTTTCATAGTAGGTTTAATTTTTTAATTTCTTTTTAATGTCGCTTCGACGGGGTTATTTTGTTGTCACTAGGTTGACCTACTTGGCGCGAAAACGAGGCCGCCTTGATTCAACTTGCACCAGCCCCGTAGCTACGGGGGGGCAAGAGGGGGCTGAGCCCCCCCTAGCAGTTTTGGTTGCCCCCCTGGAAGACTTATACATTATAAATTTCAAATTAGTAATAAAATTTCAATATAATGCCGATTGCCGAAGCATATTAACTGGCCCCACCCCCCCACCCGCCCCCCCTTTATTTTCGTACAGGGTATATTATTTGGCAATATCACCCTACCGTTGATGTTGACCGTATAAAAAAATGAACATGTCACATTTTATTCCATAGCCTACTATGTACTTGAGAAAAGTCAAAAATATTATATGGATTTTCTAAAAATTGAGGTTTTATTGTAATGGACAAAAAATCGACAAAAAATTCTGAGATGTAGATCTCAATGAGCTTAATCAAAAAACATAAGGTCTTGATGGTCCCAGACCAAGATTTTTCAAAAATTCGCTTCCAAAGTCGACATTTCAAACTTTCTCAAAAATTACATTTCTTTTGGCGGCTCTGGAAAAATTGTACGAATTTTCGAAAAAATAAAACCAAAAAAAAAAACATTTGGAGATCGAAATCAATAAAAAGATCCCTTCTGCTAGTTTTCGAAAATGCGTGGGAAAAGTCAAATTTTTTTTATAGATTTTCAAAAATTGAGCTTTTGTTGAAATTGGCTGAAAATCTACAAAAAATTCTGAGATGTAGATCTCGACGAGTTTAGTCAAAAAACATAAGGTCTTGCTGCTATTCGGTTTCCAAGTCGACTTTTTAAAATTTCTCAAAAATTATACTCCTATTTCTTTTGACGATTCTAGAAAAATTTTACAAATTTTCGATCAAATAAAACCAAAAACAACATCTGAAGATTGAAATAAATAAAAGAATGACTTTCAGTAATTTTTGGAAATGCTAAGAAAAGTCAAAATTTATTTAGTTTTCAAAAATTGAGCTTTTGTTAGAGTTGACAAAAAATTCTGAAATATAGATCTCGATGAGCTTAATCGAAAAACATGTTCATGCTCCCGGAGCAAAATTTACGAAATATTGGGTTCTACCTAAAATTTCTAAAAAATCTCAAAAGTGACTTAAAAAAAAGTTATTTCTTTATGCGATTGTGGAAAAATTCGACGAAATATCAAAAAAATAAAACCAAAAATAACATCTGTAGATCGAAATCAATAAAGAGATCCCTTTTGCTAATTTTCGAAGATGCTTGGGAAAAGTCAAAAAATGTATATGGATTTTCAAAAATTGAGCTTTTGTTGAAATTAACAAAAAATCAACAAAAAATTCCGAGATGTAGATCTCGATGAGCTTAATCCAAAAACATAAGGTCTTGATGGTCCCAGACCAAGATTTTCGAAAAATTCGGTTTCAAAGTGGACATTTCAAAATTTCTCAAAAATTACATTTCTTTTGGCGGCTTTGCAAAAATTGTACAAATTTTCGAGAAAATAAAACCAAAAACAACATTTGGAGATCGAAATCGATAAAGCGATCCCTTTTGCTGATTTTCGAAAACGGTTGGGAAAAGTCATAAACATTTTATAAATTTTCAAAAATTTAGCTTTTGTTGAAGTTGACTAAAAATCCACAAAAAAATCTGAAATGTTGATCTCGACGAGCTCAATCAAAAAACACAAGGTCTAGATGGTCCCAGATCAAGATTTTCGAAACATTCGGTTTCAAAGTTCAAAAATTACATTTCGTTTGGCGATTGCTGAAAAATTTTACGACTTTACAACCAAATAAAACCAAAAACAACATCTGGAGATCGAAATCAATAAAGGAATCCCTTTTGGTAATCTCGAACGTGCTTGAAAAAAGTCAAAAATTTGATACAGGTTTTCAAAAATTGCCATATTTCTTCCGTCGATTCTGGAAAAATTGTAAGAATTTTCAAAAAAATTGAATCCAAAACGATTTTTGGAAATCGAGATGAAAAAAGGAGTCTCTTTTGATAATTTTTGAAAATGCTTGGGAAAAGTCAAAAATTTTATATGGGTTTTCAAAAATTGAACTTTCGTAAAAGTTGACAAAAAATTCTGAAATATTGATTTGGACGAGCTTAAAAAAACATGACAGGTTCATGGTTCCGGATCAAAATTTTCGAAATACTCGGTTTCGAGCTCGAATTTTCAAAATTTCTCAAAAATTACCATATTTCTTTTGGCGATTGTGGAAAAATTGTACGCATTTTCGAAAAAACAACCAAAAACAACATCTGGAGATCGAAATCAATAAAGGAATCCCTTTTGGTAATCTCGAACGTGCTTGAAAAAAAGTCAAAAATTTGACACAGGTTCTCAAAAATTGCCATATTTCTCCCGTCGATTCTGGAAAAAAAGTTAGAATTTTCAAAAAAATTGAATCCAAAACGATTTCTGGAAATCGAGATGAACAAAGGAATCTCTTTTGGTAATTTTCGAAAATGCTTGGGAAAAGCCAAAAATTTTATATGGGTTTTCAAAAATTGAACTTTCGTAAAAGTTGACAAAAAATTCTGAAATATAGATTTCGACGAGCTTAAAAAAACATGACAGGTTCAAGGTTCCGGATCAAAATTTTCGAAATACTCGGTTTCGAGCTGGAATTTTCAAAATTTCTCAAAAATTACCATATTTCTTTTGGCGATTATGGAAAAATTGTACGAATTTTCGAAAAAACAACCAAAAACAAGATCTGGAGATCGAAATCAATAAAGGAATCCCTTTTGGTAATTTCGAACGTGCTTGAAAAAAGTCAAAAATTTGATACAGGTTCTCAAAAATTGCCATTTTTCTTCCGTCGATTCTGCAAAAAATGTAAGAATTTTCAAAAAAATTGAATCCAAAACGATTTTTGGAAGAAATCGAGATGAACAAAGGAATTCTTTTGGTAATTTTCGAAAATGCTTGGGAAAAGTCAAAAATTTTATATGGGTTTCCAAAAATTGAGCTTTTGTTAAAGTTGACAAAAAATTCTGAAATACACATCTCGACGAGTTTAAAAAAACATGACGAGTTCATGGTTCCGTACCAAAATTTTCGAAATATTTGGTTTCGAAGTCGGATTTTTAAAATATGTACTAAACATGCAAAAAAATAAACTCAAACAAATTGGATGTTACCTATATGGTCACTACACAAATTTTTGGATGCAGTACAGCTGTTTGTGAATCTACATTATCTGTTTTAACCAGCATTTTAACCAAGTACCGTACTAATTTTTTGGACTTCGACAGGTTTTTACGAAAATTTAGCGTGAAAAATCGACGTTTCCAATTATTTTAATGTTCCTTCAAATATAAAAACTCAGAAAAAGTAAAGTAGTTATCTGAGTGTATTATTAAAATATAAATATTTACATGAAGCCCCCTCTGTCGACAAACTTGCCCCCCCTGAATAAGTTTTCTAGCTACGGGGCTGACTTGCACTCATTTTTTTCAGTTGCGCCACTCAATATTTACAATTTTCGTTTCTATGGCAACCGTTTGTGTACATCGTTCGCACCACCCCAAACGGGAAAATGTTTTCGGCCAACGTTATCAAAGACGGCGATTTTACCAAGACTGTGTACACCCTGGTGAGCCCCATGACTCCGTAAGCCCCCTCTGACTGTTTTTTACAGATCAAAGACAACCGCTTCGCCGACGCTATCAAAATCCTGCACGGCATTCCCGAGTCCAGTTCGACCAGGGCCGGACTTTCATTGTTGGCGTATTGTTACTTTTACATTCAAGACTTTAATAATGCGGCCGGTTATTATGAACAATTGACGCAAATGTACCCTGATAATAATGATTATAAATTATATTATGCGCAGGCTTTGTATCAGGCCTGTCTCTATGATGAGTCTTTTCAAGTGACTAAAAAGGTCGTTGATGATCCGGAATACAAAGGACAAGTGGTTAAGCTCCAAGCTGCTATAAAATACAGCCAGGAGGACGTTCTTTCGGCCAAGAGTTTGATTAATACTTGTCCTAGTGACGACCCGGATAAAGAAGTTAATTTAGGGTGTCTACTATACAAAGTAAGTAAAAATATTAAAGTACGTAGTTTCCACGAAATGTATTTACTTGTTTTAGGATGAAAACTATGAACAGGCTCTCGCCAAGTTCACCACAGCTCTCCAGAACCAAGGCTTCAAGCCATACTTGGGTTACAATATTGCTTTGTGCTACTACCGACTCAAGGAGTACGGGCCTGCACTCAAATACTGCGGTACTACTACCTACCTTATTTCCACCACTTCCTTCCACTAATCGTATTTTCAAATAGCTGATATCATCGAACGCGGTATACGGGACCACCCCGAACTCAGCATCGGTATGCAAACTGAAGGCATAGAGGTCCGCTCAGTCGGCAACACCCTCACCCTTCACGAAACAGCCCTAACCGAAGCCTTCAATCTGAAAGCCGCGATCGAGTACCAACTCAAAAACAGTAATTTTTAAACCCTTGGTAACCCTCCATAATAATTTGTTGTAGTGGAGGCAGCTCGCGAAGCCCTCACCGACATGCCCCCACGGGCAGAGTACGAACTCGACGCCGTCACCCTTCACAATCAAGCTCTGATGAATTTCGAACAAAACCCGACTGAAGGGTTCGAGAAATTGCAATTTCTATTGCAGCAGAATCCATTTCCACCTGAAACCTTTGCGAATCTTTTGCTTTTGTACTGTCAACACGAATGTTACGACCTGGCAGCTGATATTTTGGCCGAAAATGCACACTTGACTTATAAGTATCTAACGACTGTACGGACTGATTTAGGGGTGGTTTTTAGTTTTTAATTGTGTTGTTTTTAGTATTTGTATGACTTTTTGGACGCTATTATCACTCAGCAGACATCGCCGAGTGAAGCCTATCAGAAACTAGATGAACTGGCGAGTCGCCATACCGAGCTTTTGCGGAAATTGACGAAGCAAGTGCAGGAACACCGCAACCGGAATGATACAGAGATGGTTAAGAAAACGGTGATGGAGTACGAAGAGGTTTTGGATAGGTATATTCCGGTGTTGATGGCGCAAGCGAAGATCTACTGGGACTTGGAGAACTATCAACAAGTGGAGAAAATTTTTCGCAAGAGTGTGGAGTTTTGTAATGATAATGACACGTGGAGGTTGAACGTGGCTCACGTGCTTTTCATGCAAGAGAATAAGTTTAAGGAAGCTACGGGTTTTTACGAGCCTTTGGTTAAGAAGAGCTACTCTGAGGTACTTTCTGGACGGTGTTAAGTGCTAATTAACACACAGAAGTTGTAGATTTTGAATGTTAATCCCATAGTTCTTGCTAATTTGTGCGTGTCGTACATTATGACGTCGCAGAACGAGGAAGCTGAAGAGCTCATGCGAAAGATCGAGAAGGAAGAAGACCAGATGGCGTTTGAGGAACCAGAGAAGAAGTATTTTCATCACTGTATCGTCAATTTAGTTATAGGGTAAATTTCACGTTTCGACGACTTAAGTAATTCTCGGTTTAGTACTCTGTATTGTTCTAAAGGTAACTACGAATTTGGGATTTCACGAGTGATGAAGTCGTTAGAACCTTATAGAAAACTAGGTACTGACACTTGGTTCTATACCAAGCGGTGTTTCTTAAGTCTTATCGAGAACGTTGCTAAGCACATGATCGTCCTACGCGACTCTGTAATCCAAGAGTGTATTTCTTTTTTGGAGAACTGTGAACGTAAGTAGTCAAAGATTGTGACGTCTGTATCTAAGTGTTTTCTAGTGCATGGTAAAACTATCAGAACTACGGCTTATTCAACTCTGTCTGACGACAACGATGCGCCTAACGGCAAAGAAACCGTCACCTACGAAGCACGAAAGATTAAATGTCTACTTCTAAAACTGCAAAACTACTAACGACACCTATGAGTATTTATTAGTTAGTCAAAAATAAAATCGTTTTTTCAGTTGACCAGAGAAATTAAAAATCGAAAGACAAATCAAAAAATTGTAAATTTAAAAAGCGAGAAATTGAAGAATTCGAAAGTTGAAAAATCGAAAAACTGAAGAATCTAGTAGTACGCACTACGATAAGACTGATTTTGGCAAATGATCTACTTTCTTAATAAAACAAAGGGCGGGTGGGTATTTCTATTTCATAATACATATTTCTTTTTTTTTGATTTTTCACTTTTTCGATTCTTAAGATTTTTCAAGTTTTCATTTTGTAATTTTTCGTTTTTATTTTCGCTTTTTCAATTTTACAATTTCTCGACTTCCAAAATTTTCAATTTTTCGGTTTGCATCAGTTTTTCAATTTGGCAATTTTTCAATTTTCATTTTTCGATTTTTCAGTTTCTCAATTTTTTGTTTCCGATTTTTATTTTTCATTTTCCCGATTTTCAATTTTCACTTTTTCGATTTTATATCATCACAATTTTTCGTTTTTTCATTTCTTTTATTTTTTGTTGTTTCTTTCGATTTTACAATTTTTCGGTTATTCAATTTTTCAAATTTTCAGGTTTTTTCAATTTTTCTTCAAATTTTCAAGTTTGATTTTCACTTTTTACAATTTTACAATTTATCGACTTCCAAATTTTCCAATTTTTCAATATTACAATTTCTCATTTTTCACATTTTCGATTTTTAATTTTTCCCTTTTTCAATTTTTCAACTCCCCGATTTTGATTTTGCATTTTCCTGATTTTTTATTTTTCATTTTCTCGATTTTATATCGCAATTTTTTGTTTTTTCATTTCCTTAATTTTTGTTGTTTCTTTCGATTTTCCAATTTTTCGTTTATTCAAATTTTCAAATTTCAGGCCAATCGATTCCAATTCGTCGATTTTCTAATTTTTGAATTTTTCAGTTTGCAGTTTTTGGGTTCCACCCCTTTTTTACTTTTTGGATTTTCAATTTTTCGTTAAACTTTAGATTTTTCAAATTTTCCACAGTTTTATACTTCGATTTCTCAGTGTTTTTTCAACTTTTAGATGTTTTAATTTTTCTTTTTTAAAATTATTCATTTTTTTCTATTTCTCGATGTTTCGATTTTTGGATTTCTCGGTTTTTCGATTTTCCAATTTTTCAATGTTTCGATTTTTCAATTTTTTTAAATTCTGGAATTTCGACTTGTCGATTTTTCAGTTTTTCGATTTTTAAATTTTAGATTTTTCGATAGAAAGACCAAAAATTCCAGACTTCTTTAATTGAAAATTTGAAATCGAACAATGGAAAAAAAGAAAAATCGAGAAATTGAAACAAAAAAAATTGAAAATTAGAATATCGAAAATCGAAGTATTGGAAAATTGAAAAACGAAATAACGAAAAGTAAAAAATTGAAAAATCGAAAAACCGAAGAATTGAAAAATTTAAAATGGAAAAGTAAAAAAAAACAAATATCGAAAAGCTACAATGAATATCGAAAACTAGAGAAATCAAAAAGTCGAAAAGCAAAAAACTGAAAACTCGAAAAACTGAAGAATTGAAAATGGTAGTACTTGCCAAATACCCTACCCTCTAAGAAAATAAGAGACGGGTGGGCCAGGCTAGTATTTGTAAAAGGTATTAGCCCCACCCACCCACCCCTTGTTTTCTTAGAAGAGTAGGTCATCTGCCAAAATCAATCTTATCTTGGCAAGCATGAGGCTGATTTTTGCAAATGACATATTCTTTAGGAAAATAAGGGTGGGTGGGCGGGGCTAGTACTTGTCAAGATGAGACTGATTTTGGCAGATGACTTATTCTTCTAAGAAAATAAACCATGGGTGGGTGGGGTCAGCACTTGCTAAAAATAAAAAATAAAAATAAAAACCAAAAAATGACAAATTGAAAAATCGGATAAATGAGAAATCGGAAAATTGTACAACTGTATAATCGGAAAATCAAAAATTGAAATATCGAAAAATTGAAAAAAAAAAAACAAGAAAACTAGGTACTGACACTTGGTTCTATACCAAGCGGTGTTTCTTAAGTCTTATCGAGAACGTTGCTAAGCACATGATCGTCCTACGCGACTCGGTAATCCAAGAGTGTATTTCTTTTTTGGAGAACTGTGAACATAAATAGTCAAAGATTGTGACGTCTGTATCTAAGTGTTTTCTAGTCCATGGTAAAACTATCAGAACTACGGCTTATTCAACTCTGTCTGACGACAACGATGCGCCTAACGGCAAAGAAACCGTCACCTACGAAGCACGAAAGATTAAGGCTCCGCCACACAGTCATTAAAAGATGCCAAAATAAGGCAAAACGCCAACCCATTTTGCGCCTTTATTTTAACAGTTGAAGAGCAGGGCGATACATGTGCGTGCTCATGACATAAAAATCTTTAAGGAAGAGTCTTGTATTTTTTAAAAAACGTAGCAGTTTTTAAAATAAAAAATAAAGTGCGTAAAACCCCAGCGGATTTTTAGCGAAAACTATAACTCGGTGTGCTTTTAAAAAATATCGAGGTGATAGAGATTTTTTTTCTACTTTAGGCGCCATTCTTCGTTTTCTGTTAAAGTTTTACTTCTTCTAGTTATTGTAAAAAAACTGCAAAGCATTTTGGGCAAATTTTGGTAAGTTAGGCAACCCAAAATATTAGCTGAGGCGGTAAGCTGTAATTTATGGCCCATACAATAGAGCACCTTTTAAATACCTTAAGCTTATTTGACCACCCTTTGAAGTACCTGACAATAGCATTAAGAAGGATATGCACTGGACCCTGTTATACCTGATACATACCTATAGTTGTGGTTCGGGTTCAAACTAGGTAATTGTAATAACTGCATTTATTGAACAATAAATTAATGATTTTATTTTTAATAGCTCTTTAATATTTTTACTACAAGCCGCATATGAACATTTAATCTCTGCAATTGAATTAGAATTTATTAACCCATCTGGAGAAGCTCCTAAAAATTTTTTTCAAATTTGTTAGAGCTTCAAATTTTTCTTTGGCCTTTTCTTCATTGTCAATAGCAAATTATATAGACTTGGGCAATTTTTTCATAAAGTTTTATCGGAATGCACAATACTTTTAACGGTATTTGCGATGTTAATTCCGTCTCTCATTTTGTCCTTTCTTTACTCCATTCCCTACACATTCGCTGACCACAAGTACCTTTTTCAATAGCATTTACGTTACTCTGTGACAGCTTTATTAATAAATCCGATTTTTTTCTTTCATACACTTCGTTTTCGTTTGTTCATCGTTGACGATATTATTTTTACCGGAATCCAGACTTCGGATACGCAATTTTTTAATAGAGGTTTTAGTTTTATTAATCGTTTTTGTTTTTTTCAATTTTTGTTCCACAAACGCCTTCGTATACTAACATTGGCCTCCTTAATTTTTTTTTTTTTGAATAACGGTATTAGGAACGTACCCTTATTATTATAACTTATTGCCGCAGCAAAGCATCACCCTTGATACGATCCTCGTGCAGAAAAACTTAAAAACTTATTCTTTTTCCTCCCACAAATTTATTAACGACAGAATTGTAGCATTCCACAGCATTGTTCTCAATATCAAAAAGTAAACTAGACGACGAAGTTGCAATTCTATTTAAAACTTGTTTGTAAGGTTCGTATAAAACACCATTTGCGAAAGTAGAAAATAAAATATCATTTGACTGTCCACTTTTATAACAAAAATAACTTGCACATTGTTCGTGATTGCCAAATATACGCTGGAAAAGAAGGAAGAGGCTCATTTTTGCTAAATTTAATAGCATTTATAATAGCTGTTCTAAATTTTAGAATACTATTTTTAAAAACATTTTTAATAGTGATATCTGCTTTCGTTGTTTTAACTATTTCTCTAATTTTGGAACAATAATTACGAAGTATGTGATTTCAACATTCAATTTTTTCTATAAAATAATATGCATCATTTAGTTTTGCAGCCCGAACTTTTTTTAATACGCTACTATCCTCGTCGCCTATAATTCTCCTATAAAGTATCTAAAGTAAATCCCTCTGAAACTTCCATGGACATAGATGTTTGCTCACAGTTTTTAAAACATGTATGTGTTGGAATTTCTTTTTTCTGTTTCATATAGATTTTACAGAAACTACAAAGTTTGTTTTTGACTCCTACATAAAGTATTTTTTTAGTTCTGGCACCAATTATACCTCCTACCCCAGACAGTGCATTGTAACGGTAGTATATGGGACGCAATCATTATCTACCTCCCTCGCCTTCACAGCTAATCGGTACTCTTCTTTACCTGCGTTTTGGTTTGTTCTTCGAAAAGTGCTTCGATGCTCTTTAGAACTCTAGCCTCGGCTTTACGATATGTCGCCTGGGGTATTTGAGGCATATCTAGAGCTGAACAAAATTCTGAAATTTGAGAATAACCTACGCCCATTGATCTAGCTCCACAAATAGCTGCATAATTGACTTTGTATATATGATTTTCAGGTTCAGTACAAAGATTACCGAATATTCCGTACATATGAAATTTGTAGTAGAAAACAATTTTTAAACGATAACAATTTTCATGAGTTATTTCAATATTATCTAAAGTACTGATTGATTTCAGTGTTGTTAATAAGTGGCCTATGTCAACAATTCTACGTCCAGTACTAATTTCTCGACGTGTCATGACCTCTAGAGTACGAAAAAAGTGGTCTCGCGTTTTCGTATGTCCGTCTGTCTATCTGTCTGTCTGGTGTCTGTATCCATTTTTTATTAGACAAGTGTTCTCCGAAACTACTGGATCGATTATTGTCATATTTTATATGTATATTAGAAATATCATGTAGATGGTTAAACGCTAACTAAAATTTGGCAAATCATCTCCACCACCAATGGTATGACGTCATCTCCAAAATTTATAATACAAAGTTTTTTAAATTTGATAAAATTAGATACTCCTGCACTTGTGGTGTGTAAATCCGTGTAGAATTTTCACCCTAGACATCTAGAATTTTTGGACAAAATTTTAACATATCCGGGTTCTCATAAAAAAAAATAAAATTCGCATAATCAAATTTTATAATTTTTCGAAAAAGCTGTGTTTGTTTTATTGTATTTCAGAGGCGAGAGAAGTTCTTCCACCAATTTGCTTCATTCAAAATACATTCCGAGAGGTAACTAGGTATGTACCTACCTAAATTTCTAAGATTTCGGGTTGAAAAATTCCAAGATTACTAAGAAATACTCACAATGACGAACCTTCGTACCTACAATAAAATATTCTTGGAAATTTAATTTTACTTTTCTACCTACTTACAGAATATGCCCAACACGTACGAATTTTTATAGAAGCAGGAATTTAAAAATAAGAGGAAGAATTATGGTCGGAATTATATATATGAACAAGCATTTTTTTGTTGTGTGTATTGCGAGTAAAGATCTCAAAAGTCTCTGACAATGATTTTATTAATTTATTTTAAAACACACATTTGGCTTTTTTCTTTTCTTATGATAGTAAATTAGGTTAAACCGCATATCAAAAATTCTCTTTCAAGGGACTTTATGCTAAAAAAAGGTAGGAGGTGCCATTTAAAATATTATCGATGACGTCATACACCTGTCAAATATCGCTCAAAACTTTTGAAACTAATATTACAAAATGGCAATTTTTATATATCAGTAGACGTGTTTTTGCGTTTTTACTTCTCTAACGTAAGCTAAGAAATATTGTTTGTTTTCTTTCATAGTAGATAAATATTTTAGTTCCTTACTCTGCTCTACCTGCAAGTTGGGATACACTTCGCCCGCTGACAATAGCAGTAATAAAACTAGTTACTTATTGTAAACGAAGTAAACGATTTTAACCCTTAGAGATGAGTGGCAGCTGTCATAACGAGGTAGCATGGGTGTTTTACAAGTTGCATATCTTTTAAAATTGAAATTTTCTTGAGGTGTGGTAGAGCCTATGTCTACTTCTAAAACTGCAAAACTACTAACGACACCTACGAGTATTTATTAGTTAGTCAAAAATAAAATCGTTCTATACAGTAGAAGACATCCACTGGGTAACAAAAGGTTAATAATAAAATCATCTAAAATAAAATATATAACAAACTATAAAGCAACAAAGCTTGAAAAAATTTAAAAACTGGAGAGAGACATTGGCAGCTCACGACGGCAGGATCAACTATATATTTACATAACCGTCGTTCGCAAGTACAGAGATTCCTAGATTACAAAATATCACATTCGTTGATTTGCGATATGTCTGAACTATTTAATCTACTTAAACTACGATGGCACTAGAAGGAGTTTGGTTCAATCCACAAGTACCATCTCCCCTATAGACTCTATAGTAACCTTGTTCGCCCCAACTTGTTCCCCAAGAGTTTTTCACTATCCAGAACGGCAGAGTTTTGTTGAAAAGTGGATATGCTTAAATTAAAGAAAAGAGGAATGAATTTGACGCAATTGACTCTGGACTGATACAAAATACGGATTGAAAGAAAGATTGACGAGTGATTACTTACTGTGTACTCCATACCCGACGATAAGCACCCCATGGTCTAGATTCTTCGGACTACACAAAAATTTGAAGGGGTGAGAAATCCCCCCGAAGTAGAACTGCATAGCGTTAGCGTTAATAGCAATGGAAATGGGTCCATTCGCCACCAGCCACTTCGCCATATCTCCTTCGTCGTGACTAATATTAAGGGCGCCGCTGAGTTGCACCCTTGCTAGACTTTTGTTGAAGTGGCAAGTCTCATCTTGGGCGTCATAAGGGTAGTCCTTTTCGGTCTCCAAACCACCCAGTTTCTCGATTTGTCTGTAATAAACTCACAGGTTGAAACCTTTCTTGTACTATATTGGAGTACAAACCTGTAAGCGTTATCCATTAGACCTCCGTTGCACCCCTGGTCATCCGTGTCACAATCCACTAACTCCTGCTCCGAAAACTCCAACAACTTTCCATGCTTGATGGCATATTGTCCCTCCACGTTGCCCGTGACGCTGAACGCCCAGCAGCTTCCACACTGCTCTTGATTCTTCACCTCAGTCACGGCCCCCTTCTTCCTCCAATCGAACTCGGTAGGAATCTCAACATCGGGTATTTTTGCTTGCGCCAGTGGCGGCTCGTTCTCGTTACGCAAATCCATACGTAGACCCAACGACTTGGAAAACTCCTTCTGCGTCATATCCGTGAATTGCGTTATGCCGTACATGGCGGTACCTTGCTCGTACCGATTTAGCAGCCTTATGTGGTACAGATTGTCGCTGAAGACTTTAAACCTATACTTGAACTCCCTCTTACTATATTTCTTATTGTACTTAGCGATGAAATGATTAAACAGCGCGAAATGAACACTCGTGTCGTCGTTCCCAAGAAGTTCGGTATTTCTGGAGTACGCCAACAGAGCATCCGTTTCGTCATCTTCGCAAGTGAAGTTGATGCGACGACTGTTAGGAATCCACAAAGCTTCGTAAATTTTGAAGTTGCAGATTCTCGGTTGTGCACCTTTTAAAGCACCACAAGTGCGTCTTTGACTCGTCAATGTTTTCTTGCAATCCGTGAGTACGACTTTCGCTTTGATCTTGTAAATGTGTCCGGCGACGACTTGTTTAGTGACTGAAAGTACTTCGTGAACTTTGTACTTGTTCTCTTGGTACGACTGAGCATCCAATTGGCTCAAACCGTCCTCCAAGTACTCATCGACCAGATCGTGATCCCCAGACGGTTCATATTCTTCACCGACTGCTTGTCTTTTGTTTCTAGCAGTACTCGGTTCTGGTTTTTCGTTGTACGCATATGATTCGCTACCACACGTTATGTTCGTCAGGCGGCCGTCAAAAAGCGTCTCGAAAACGACAAAATTGCAAGTCTTGGGTTGCGCGTTTTTTAGACTATCGCACTCGTTTCTATTCGTCACAGAGGTTTTTTTACAGTCGGACAGAATTATTTTTGCTTGGATGCGATAGATGAACCCAGCGACGACCTGCAACGTGGCCGAGATAACATCGTGGACTTTGTATTTGTTGTCGTGGTCTGATTGACTGTCAATGTGCGTTAAGCCACTTTCCAAATACTTTTTCACGTCTTCGTCGTCTTTACTAATCGGATTGTGTCCACCTGGTATTTGTCGCTTCAGTCTAGCGTTTGTGACTTCATATCGCTTAGGATCGAAGCCGCGTCTAAATCTGCTGTAGTTTGTTCGATTACTGTCGTTCTTATCACGCTTGATATTCTGACACTGCGACTTGACTACTTTCGGGGTGGTAAAATCGTCGTTCACGTAGACTTGTACTTTGCAAATCTTCGTGTAATTCTCAAACAATTTCTCGCGGCAGTTTTCGAAAAGATTCGGAGGTTTATCTTCCAGACAACGTGAAACTCCCATGCGCATGATCAAATGGTAATAAACCCCATCATCCCCCACCATTTTCTTCGCCCCTAAAATCTGCAGGATGATGCGTTTGTGGTTATCGTCGTCGATATTGTCGAGAGCGGCGGCCGCAAAATCGGCTAAATTCTTCACCAAGGGTTTTTCGTCCGGCGAAATTTTTTCCAACTGAGGAATCGCCCTTCGGCGTCTAGCTTTCGCTTCGCTTTCTTCAGAACTGTCTGCTTGTTTAACTTCAGAAACCACGGGATTTGGGGTTGTTTCTGTTTCTGCGCTTTCTTCAGAACTGTTAGCTTGTTTCACCTTAGACTCGCTCGAATCAAAGTCCGTCTTTTCTTCCGAACGTTTAGGCCGAGTGTCTTCCTCGGACGAGCTTTTACTCTCTTCAGAGCTGTCTGGTTCTTTCGGTTTGACTTCGACTTTTTCAGTCACAATTTCGGGTGTTGTGGGGTCATCTTCGACAACTACGACTTCGTCGGGAGTTTGAAAAGCTAAAGCCGGAGTAGGATCGATCTCAAATCTTTCTTCGATTTCGGGTGCCAGAGACGGCGCCACCGCTTTTGGTGCGGTTTTCTTTGTTGGGGTTGGTTGTTCTAAGTCTAGGAGAATTTGCGACTCCAAGTCGCTTAATCGAGGAGATGGCAATTCGAGGTTGCCACTTTCCGCGATACGATCGAAATTAGGAGTACTGACGGGTAGTCTAGACGGTGTTCCTTTAACGTCAACTTCGTTGCTCATTTCTGACTTTTTATCGTCGTCTCTGACGTACTCTTGCGAAGAGGTACAATTGTTACTGATTATATGTTTGGCTTTGCTTATCCACGGTTTTTGCACATACACGATTTCGCAAATGGCCGTTTCCGAGTTGGGGTCTAATGGGCATGCGTTTAAGTTGAGGTTCGAGTCTTTGGAGCACACGGTGGGGCGTAATTCCGCGACTAGGATATATTTAACACCTGAGACAACCTAAAATAATGAAGTTTGTGATTGACAACTAATCGAAAAGTATTTTTTTAACCACGAAGTGATTATGATGAAATAAAACTAGACTTTGTTCTTTATTGTTTTGATCAACTTACTTGTTGCTGCACTTTAAGTACTCTGACTAGGGCTTGTTTATTCGGGCGCTCGGTCCCCACATGTTCCAGCGCCAAGTCGACCAACTCGTCCACGCCCTCCGCGTCCGGATTGACGTCAAACGGGCACCCCAGACAGGGCGCCAGGTCCTTCCGCACGGCCACGAACGGCTCGCTCACTTCCGACGACACCGCCTCGCCGCTCAGCGCGACCTGCAACGCCCCCCCGTCACAAAAAATCAGACCTTCGTCCCTAATCATACAGATTTGGCCTCGTTGACCTCCACCTCTGTCGGCCCCGTCGGCGGTTCGTACGACGCCTCGTCGACGGTAATTTCCGGCTTGGGCTTGCAGTTGACTTCGTTGAGCACCTGGCTGCCTTCAGGTGCGTTCCGCACGAAGGCATGGCACGTGAGGAGCTTCTCCGTGCAAGGGATGTCCGGATACTTATTTACGCATTCCACGTTTACGTCTAAAGCTAATTCGGTGATATCAGCCTAGGAAAAAAGGAGGCGTAATTGCGCTATCAGTAACCTCATTAATCGCGACTTGCATAACATAAATCTGAAATCATGGCTAAAATTATACCTTTGTGTGCGCATGTAAGAGGGTGGCTTCTTTGTAGTTGTAGACTTTGAAAGAGGACGAGTTGAGGTGGTTGATCACGGCGGAGATTTCGGAAGCGTGAGATTCGAACGAATTTGAGACGGTTTCGGGGTACACTTCACCGTTTACGTAAATTTGTAAACACAGGAAAATAAACATGAGCGGCCCCGCAGCCATGTTTACTGTGAGTGACAGTTTGAATGACGCATGAATTCGAAGTGTCAAGAGTCAGCTGTTTCGGACAGCTGAAATGAACGTCAATACCGTTATTTAGTTACTTTTGTAAAAAATCCCTAGGTAGATGCTGGAAATTGCGAGCGGGGCAGAAGTACCCAAACAAACGTCAGAGCGTGATTTTCGCCTACTCTTTGAAAACTTTAGAGTGACGTCAACAAAACGTATGAAAATGTGTCTTGGGTTGCATTTTAGTCTTCCTTAATTTCATTACTCGTGAATTGTTCACACCCGGAGTAAAATTTCCACCATAGTTTGAGAACTGCTGTCGCAAAAGCTTTCATGTGTGTGTTTTAATCTAGGGAGTATCTCTCTAGTTAGACACAAGTGGTGCCGCCTACACGCTACGTCTTATTACAGAACCCTGTACCATCGGCAATTTTTAGAAACCAGAAAATCCACGTAATTCTGCGCTATTTAAATCGCACTGTGTCACAATGACTACATTTTAATTGATTTGATTTATGCAAATTGCGGTTGTTGCGTTCCAAGGCCGTTCATAGATCGCTTGTTTACGGCAATTGCGGCCTAGTCGAGTCGGTTTTTGGAGGTTAGGTGGTGACACGAAGCAATCCGTCCCAAATCCGCTGGCACATTGCGAAATTGCGCCACGAAACCAAAGAAAAAACTTACAAAACCATCACACGTCCTTGTGCCAGTGCGCACTGGCGCCGTTATTCGTACCGAGCGGCACACGGCGGCCTGGAGCGGACGTTTATTTACAGTGCTTATAAAATTAATTATAGCGAGTTGATTACCAGTTGCGAGTTGTAAAAAGTTGTTATCGCGCCATTATGATAAGCCGCTTTTCGTTATGTAATAATCCGATGTCATTACCGCTGCACGAGTGTCGTAAATCATAGCTGGCCGTAGATGCGTCAAAAACTGTCATTTGTTCACGTTAAATTTTTGTTTGTGTCATTTAGTGGTTCCCATTTACTCCATTTCGACATTTTTTTCGCGATAAATTCAGGGATCCATCTTCGCTCCAACGAAATTCACCAGTGGCGGAGTTTGTGAAATTACTCGTGTTGTGTAAGTCGCTATTTTTGTGATTATTGGTAGATTTGGTAGAATTGTCAATCACCACATGGCGGATTCGCGCGGACGACTCGATCGGGATGGTTTCAAAAGCGCGGGCTACAGGGGCGTGCTCTCGGACTTTGGCAGGGGGCGCTGCTGGAACGGGATTAGTTTCAACAGATTTTTGGACATTTTCTTGCAAAATTAACGACCAAGTGGTTTTTTAATGTGACAAAATGCAAGATTATTTTCGGTACTTTAATAATGTCTTAATTTTGGAGGTATGCAGTGTACTACTGAGACTACTGAACTAGTTGTTAAATTTTACATGTGTATTACAAATATCATGTAGATAACGAAAATTTGGCTAATCATTCCTACCAACAATTTGTTGACGCCATCTCCAAAATTTAAAGTAAATGTTATTTAAATTTTATAAAATAAGATACTCCTGCGCATGTCGTTTAAGAACCCATGCTAATTTTTAATCCTAGACATCCAGATGTTTGGAGAAAAAAAATCAAAATTACAACATCTTACAATTTAACCTTGAAATTGCTCTAAAAAAAATAAATTTTTGTCGTGAATTTTTTTTTAATGCATTTTTTTACATTTTATCCCATTTTTAAGGTTATTTTTTAAAAAGTTGTGAATTTCTAAAGATTTTGACTATGATTCTAGCTGATCCATATGGAAACCGCTGTTTTTAAGATTTCTATAAAAAATAAAAAAACACTTTAACGTCAAAATTGACCTGTTAAAAATAATAAAGCACCTTATAATAATAAATTAAAAAATAAAATGTGGAGTGAAACGTACCAGTTTGTTACTTAATACTAATTTGTCCCTTTTTTTTGGTGTTATATATTTAACTTTATAGGATTGCATACTCCTGTATGTGTGATTCATGAATCCGTGTCGAGTTTAGACATCGAGATTTTTGGGAAAGAATTCAAAATTGTATTTTACAATTTCGGTTCAGAATTGCAAAAGCGAATGAAGTGAAATATAGCAAACGTTTTAAGGCTGTAGGAAAGACGATAAATCGTTAATCAAAATTTCTTCGTTTAAAGCCTTCCCAAAAAATTATGACGTCATCTTAGAATTCTGCCGAACAAATGTTCTTTAAATTTTATAAAATAACATATTTTTGCATGTGTGATTTATAAATTCATGTTGAGTTTTTGCCCTTAGCGTCCAGATTTTTGGAAAAAAAATCAACATTGTGTTTACAACTAAATTTTAAAATGTAATTTCAAATTGCAAAAACCGAATGCTGTGAAATCGTGCAAATATTTTAGTCGAATTCGGTCCAAGTATAAACATAAACAGTCGAAGTTAAGCATACATATACTAAGAAATTGAAATTGTCTACATTTTTCCCGTTAGTTACGTGCTTTAAATATAACATATATAATTCGTTGGCAGACCTAGAGGCGGAGCTTAATTGCTAAATCCATATTTCCTTACAAAAAATTACCATTTTGAACGTGTTTTAAGCTGCCAATTGAGATGGGGTGGGTGGGCGGGGTTTTTATTTTGCCTTTTTTTTAATATACATGGTATTCTTTAAACAACACGATACTCAACAACATGTTTTTAATTTTTTGTAAAAAAAAGTATTTTTCATTTAAGCTCCGCCCCTTTGGTTCACAGCGAATAAAAAAAATCATCACAATTGAGATAGGGCGGGTGGGCGGGCTTACATTTTGCCTTTTTGTTTCAATATATGTAGACTTTTTTTCATAACATGAAACTTAAAACATATTTAAAATGGAAAATTTGTTTGAGGAAATATGGATTTTGCAATTAGGCTCCGCCCCATAATTGTAAAATCCATATTCCTTGCAAAATGTACCATTTTAACCATGTTCTAAATCCCTTGTTGTAAAAATATGGCTATGTACATTAAGAAAAAAAAGCAAACTATAAGCCCCGCCCACCCCCCACCCCCCCATCTCAATTCCGATGATTTTTTTATTCGTCGTAAGCCGAGGGGCTAATTGTAAAATCTTTATTTTTGTACGAGAAATTACCATGTGAAATTTGTTCGTAAGTAAACGTGTTATGCAAAGAAAACTAAATGTATTAATTAAAAAAGAAAACCAAAAGGGAAGCCCCACCCATCCGTCTCGATCCCAATCGTGATGAATTTTTCATTCGTTGTTAGACCGAGGGGCGGAACGTCATTGCAAAATCGATATTTTCCTATACAAATTTACCATTTTAAACATGTTTTAAGTTTCTTGTTGTGAAAAGATGACTACACATATTAAGAAAAAAAAAGGTAAAATGTAAGCCCGCCCACCCGCCCTATCTCTATTGTGATGATATTTTTATTCGTCGTGTGCCAAGAGGGCGGAGCTTAATTGCAAAATCCTTATTTCTGTACAAGAAATAGAAAGCATGTTTTTGGGTATCGTGTTGTTCAAAGAATACTACGTATATTAAGAAAAAAATTAAGCCATACCCGCCCCGATCTCAGTTCTCAATTGTGATGAATCTTTCATTCGTTGTCAAATCGAGGGGCGGGGCTTAATTGCAAGATCCATATTTGTCTACAAGAATTTACCATTTTAAACATGTTTCAAAATGTGGAGTCAAACGTACCATTTTTACTTAATACTACTTAATACTAATTTTTTTTAATGGTGTTATATATTTAATTTTATGAGATTGCATGCTCCTGCATGTGTGATTCATGAATCCGTGTCGAATTTTCACCATGGACATCCAGATTTTTGAGGAAAAAAATCAAAACTGTGTAATATTTTACAACTTAACTTTGAAATTGTAAAACCGAATGCTGTGAAATCGTGCGAATATTTTAAGATTATTTGAAACATGGTAAATCGTTAGTCAAAATTTGTCCGTCGTCTTACATTTTTGCCGAAATTTATGAGTGTTTTTGGGAGAAAAACTGAGTATGAATTAATCAATCAGTCCTTTCCTCTGCGTTGAGGACACAAAATCGACCAAATTTCTTTTTTTTTAATCCCTGATGTTTGTGCTAGTAGTCGAATTCGGTCGAAGTTTAAACATAAACAGTCGAAGTTAAGCATATACTGAGAAATTGAACATTTTTCCCGATAGTTATCTGCTTTAAATATATTTCATCTTTAAAGACATAGGGGTTGCGGGGATGGTTATTCCCCACTTTATAGAGGTTAACAGTCATCACAAATCGAAAATTGCAGAATGTAATTTTATATTTTTTTAAGGAAGCGGAAATTATCGGACCATACTTCAAAAGCGGGGGAAGTTCTGTCAAAATAACCTTCTACAATTTTTTTACTAGCTTTGTTTTTCTTTGTATCGCCATCAAAATTCCAAAAACAATATGATTTTTTCAAAACGCCAATGTCGCCAGCAAAACTGAAAATAATAACAGTAATAATAATAATACCCAAACAACATCTGTGTACAATACCACAGGTCCCCACTTTGTAAATTTCCCGATGGAGTAATTAAAAAATGCGTTTCTTTTGTTCAAATGGCGACATTAAAAATTTCGAGGAAAACTTACGAAAACCAAGTAAACTAGATCTTACCGGAAGAAGTTAAAATTAGAAAAGCATCTGGCACAGTGAAATTAATAAATAAATGTCAAAGTATAAAGAAATAAAAACAAAAGTTGGAAGCGATTTGCTTTAAATTATCTTTGCATTTTTTCCTTAAAAACGTCTATCGCCACTTCCCACACTTTTTAAATTTACAAATTCGTCGTTTCAAACTAATTATCAACCGAAATTACTGATCACTTACCTTGGGAGGCGCCTTTGGCACGGGAATAAACGAAAATAAATATATTACAAACGGGTGTTACAGAAGCAGTTTTTTAACCACCAATACTCAATTATTAATTCGCGTGAGCAGCAAAAACCCAACTATTCTCGCCGCCACTGCCGAGCTCACAATGCAACTGGTGCTAAATCAAATCTATGCCTCCATCTAGAAAAAAAGTGGCAGTTTTCACTGTTTTAAAATCCAAAATTCCCGATCGCCCAGCCTGCGGCCATTTCCAGGGGCGTATTCGCTTATCAGATGCATTTCACCGAATCGGAAAAAATCATCCAACTCTCGCCACTCTGGAAATAATCACAGATAACGCAAACCAGCACGTGTTTCAACCGATCCCCCTATCACCTCGCCACCTTATCTCCCAAAACCATCCATTCCAACGCAATTTTTGAAATTATTGTCCGATTATCATCAACATCGACTTTGTCGTAAACAAAGCGCAAAAAAGCCGAATTAAAACTATTAATAGCCTTGATTCACATCATTCCGCAAATTCGTGTCTTCGCGCGGCCTCGACCAAGAACCACCTCCCGGCCGAATGGTGCGATTGGAAATAATTTCATTTGCGACTTAATTTCGGTAATTAATCATAATTAAAATTAGAGGTTGCTCGTCGTTGCATAATTCATGCGTGTTGTGATTGCCAGTAATTGGTGTGGGAGAGGCGGCGGAATTGCGACAGTGGCGCCGACTTAGGGAGGCGAAATTTTTTTTGGTTGCTTGCGCAATTGGAAAACAAACAATGTCGCGATTAAAGTTTTCCCCAGTTGCCATGTTGGCGAGGAGACGATGCGTCATTGTTTATTGTGTTGGCGAACGTGATGATAAGTCGGACGTGGCGATAACTCGTCGGAGAAGGTCTTTTTGAGCACTCAGTTGATTTTCTGGTTTTGGGAGAGGTGATAAAGGAGTTGACGAACTGCGATTTTTGTGGAAAAGCACGGATGGGTATTTTTAGAGCGGAGGGACTGGTGGGTGGGATTGTACGAGTTGTCATTCATGGGTCGGTGCGGAGATTTTGTCACAGTTTTACGGTAACGCGTGAAGGCGAATATGTATAATACGACCATCAGCAGCTACGCTGTCATGTATGCTTTCTTTAACAAGCTAAAAATTGAAAAAAACAAACTCTGATAAGTGATATTATCTGGTATCTCGAGTAGGAATCTGTCTAATGACTCTCTGGCATAATGGAGGTCATTAAGGTGATATGATTGCCTGCTTTATTTGTTGTACAAAGTAAATAAGTAGTTAAATTTAACTTTGTCTAGGATTTTGACTGCTAGTCTAATGCAGGATCATTAAACAGTAAGTGAAGTTTTAAATACTGGTCAGACTTTCAAACTTTTCAGACAAATGTAGTTATGATCAACCGCCTCGAATTAATTTGGAAGGAAAAGACTTTCATATCTTTCCGGATTCTTGGGCGATTTTACATTGCGTGTAAGATTCAAGAGAATTTCAGGAATTGAGGGTCAGGTTCTACAAATTAATTTTCATTTTATGAGGATTTATTTACGTGTTTGTACACCACAACAAATGCACTAATTTTGTCGAGTTATCGCAATTTTTGAATTAATTTATTATCTTGGCAAAATAACGTTGAAGACAAATTTCACATAAATCTAATTAAATTGTAATCTTTTGTGAGATGTAGGACACAGGTATAGGCGCTGTTAAAATAAGTATTTTTGGCCGAACAAGTTTTATTTTGACACTCGCAAAGTGATTCATAAAAATGATTAACTACGCAACTAAATAGTTATTTTAGTGACATGACAGGTGCGACACAAGCAAACACAATCCATAAAACCATCCGTATAAATTAAACCTAAACATTACAAGAAAGACATTCCATAAAATGAATTAATCGTTAATTACATAATTTCGGCAATTTTAAATATTTGTATGAAAGAATGTCTTCGTTTTTTTGTGTGGTATGATGTTGATCATAATTTTGGCTCAACAAGTATGACTTAATTTTTAAATGCATACCAATTTTTTTTATATAATAAATAATATATGCAAAATCCATTTGTTTACTATTTAAAACATGCGGAGATTTTTTTGCAATTAATAATCTTTTAAAGGTCACAAAGTTGCGTATGTGGGAACGGAACTCCAAACATTAATCTGGAAATTGGAGGCGGCAGTTTCACAGAATAAAATATTCCAACCTTCCAGTAGAAATGTCAAACTTATTGAAATGTTCAAGTAAGACAAGGGGTCACCGAGATTTTTTCAAATATGTAATTTCAAAAACAGGATTCACAGGGGGTCCCCGAAAGTCTTTCAAACTAGACAAAACACAAGGGGTTCTCGACGTTCTTTCAAATTACTTCAAAAAATAAGAGACAAGGGGTCCCCGAGATTTTCAAATTGTTTCAAAAACAGTACGCAGCAAAATGTGTGGTTAATTTCTAGTTAGTTTGGTCATTTTTCCATTATTTTCGTGGTTTAAAATGCCCATAATGAATTTTTAAATAACTATATCATATCGCTGCGGTTTTTAGTTAAATAAGAAACCATCGATTAATCTCACAGTACGCAAGCAAAGTGAATAATTAATTACACATATTGTGTGATGCACTTTGATCACGACTGTTTTCAATCTTATGTCATTAACAGAAATTACCAAAAGCGTTGATCATCATAGGAATTCTTGCGCAACTCCCACACTGGCTGTCTTCAGCAGTCGCGCCCACCTCTAACAATGAAGCACATTTCTAATAAGTAATAAGTGTACTTGTTGTGGTTGTGGTTTAGGTGGTAAAACGTTGAAGAAAATTTTGTTGTTCATCCTCTTCAAAATATTGATGACGTCATCTCAAAATGTTCTTAAAAAATCTCGCTTAAAACGTGCAGCTTGTCGTATCCATAAAAAATAATTTCTGCAATCAAATCTCATATTTATCTTTGTGGTTACATAAGAGACTTTAAGTTTGTAGTGGTTTCCAAAATTCCAAGCAAAGTAGATAAGCAACATACATTTTTCTAGTAGTACTCACTCGACGGTACTTTGATGATATTGCATAAAATTTCGAAACGAAGGACGAAAACTTGCATTTTCATGTTTAACGTATTTTGAAACACCTAAAAACCACGAAATTGGGTATTCGTGAGTTTGACTTTATTACATTTCTGTTAGTAGCGAGTTCCACGGTGTGCGCTTCGAACTACCGAACACTAGAACTTAAAACGCCAGCTTGACCTTGCAGGTGAATCTTAGCCATCTTTCGCTCTCGGCCGAAAGGAAAACCCCGCTGCAAGTGTCAGCCCCCTCCCCACGTCGCCGCCGCCCACGCGTCCTCCGCTAATAGCCGCCGCATCTTCGAATTTCTTCCAAAAGTGTGCGTCACGTGACGCATAATTTTGGCGCGAACCCATCCATCGACTCAAGCCCCCCCATCTCTGTTTCAGGCATTCAGTGAGCGTCGTCGTCGTCGCAGTGTCAGCGCAGCGTCCCCGTCGTCGTCCAAGGTCGCCGCCCCAGGTGGGGGAAGAGCGCCGCGCTATCTGTCACCGCCCCGCGTGACATGTCGCCGTCTCCTCGCCGATCAGTCGGTCCGCGTCCATAGAGCGAGCCGCGCGTAGTGACCTCGAGTCCAGCGAGAGCAGAAAGTGGTGCGAGCGTGCGCAGCGCAGTGCAGTGTCGTAACCGTGCCGCAGCAGTCCGCTCGCGCTGATGGACGTCTGAGCAGTGGCAAAATGGCCGCCGACTCGGGAATGGATACGTGCCCGTCGCCAGAGATCGCCGACTCCAGGAAGCGGCCGCTCGACGGCGACAACGACAGCGGCGACACGAAGCGCTCCCACTTCAGCCCAGGTGAGTGACGCGCGCCAATGGCGGCGCGAGCGGCGGAGAGCGGCGCCGGCGGGCCGCCTCCTGGGGCAGTCGCTCGCGCGCCGATGTGCGGTGAGGTGCGCCCCGACGACGACGGCCAGATGACCAGCAGCTCGGACGCGTTCCATCTGCGGAACTTGGCGAGCACGCTGCCGGACGGTGAGTGTGGGGGCGGCGGCGGGGCGGCGGCGCGATGCCACATCGCCGACACCTGCTTTTTTCGAAAACATGGGGCGAAACACGGCCGCGCCGCCCACGCACGGCCGCCGCTACTGGCGACGACACGTGTCGCGGAGCGGCACACATCCGAATGCCGATTTTGACACACCGTTGCGATGGGGAACAGAACTGTGGCGCAGCTGATTTCGGCGAGTCGGGGCTACGGCGACGATGCGTTTTATAATTTCTGTGCCGATCGGTGTGTAGCGGCTGTGCTTTTTCACGTGCAACGTGGACCGATTGCGTTATTTTCTCGGCCGACGAAATTTTGTGGTTATTGTTATCGGCGGCGATGTTGTTGGTGTAAAACGTGGACATTCATTGGTTAAACGACGGTCAGCTGTTGCGATGTACATACATGCTGCGTCATCCCACGAAATTGTGACAGTTCGCGTCAAGGGTAGTTTTTCATTTTTTTTTTATCTAAAATTTGGTTACAGCGGGCGTCGTTTGCGCACGTTTCGAACAGCACAAATCTAACACTCGAGCTGTCAAAAATAAAAAACAAGAATTCGAAATTTTGAAAATGTACGTTTTTCGGTCCAACACAAAAGAGGTCGACCGAATCGCTTACTGTTTTAAAAAAGACGTGTTTAACGCGAGTGCCAAATTCGCCGGCCGTGTCGAATTGAATGCTGTTTGTTGCCAAAACGTTGCGCTGTCGGTGCAACGATGCAGCGATGAATTTTTTAGCGATTGTTTACGATAAGAAAACTGTGTCACAGCTGATTCCGGGAAGTCGGCTCTGTCTGTGCTGGCTAATGGCGATGGTATTATTATTGTGGGCACAAAAAAATGTTAATTATAATGTAGCGTGTTCCGATAACATGCCGTTGTCAAAATTTGTGGGTATTGTGACTGCCGGAATGGGTTTTTTGTTTAAATTGTGGCTATTCGTGGGTTTGTTGGTTGTTGCGATGTGTATGTTGTGTAACTTGTAATTGATCGGGATGCGGAGGGAGTTTTCTGTATTTTTGTACAGGCTGTTTCATCTCAGTAGGTCAGTAATGGTGTCGTTCCAGAGTAAAATACAAAAATCCGATTTAAAAAAGTATATTTTGCTTCGAAAATTTTAAAACCGTGAAAAAATTGAACACGTTTTCTAGATTTCAAATGAAATTTTTGGAATTTTTATAGAATTAACAAGTCTTTTGTGGCAAATTAATTATGCATTAGAAAACCGAATTTATATTTAACACTTTCGATTTTCAAGAAAAAAAAATAATACAATTTTTTCCATAGAACAACCTGTTCCTTTTTCCTGTTTTTTAACACTTTCTCATCAAGGTTTGGAACACTATATTGCCATGTAAATTGATTATTGTTAGACAAAGAAATGATTATATAACGTAGCTATTGTTTCAGCCACTATTAAAAAAAAATTAGTCGAAGGTTATTTCGACAGAACTTCCCTCGCCCTATAGACTTGAAATTATAAAATTTTACTTGCGTATTTTTTGTGGTAACCGCTAAATACCATGGTGTAAATAACACATCCGCAGACAACCAACGGGAAATAATGCATTCTCAGTTTTTCAATACATGCTTAACTTCGACAGTTTATGTTTATATTTCACTATTCACACTTTCGTATAAAAAGCAATAGGGACGGCATTTGTGTTAAAAAAATTAAATTTAATTAATTACGTACACTCGGTTTTCTTTTTCCCAAAACACTGGATGTCTTTTGTAAAATGTACGCAAAAATATTGGTTAACGTTTTACAATATGGACGATATTCCTAAAATGGATATAAAATTTGACAACAATCGATTCACTAGTAATAATGAAAATTCACACTGACTGCAAAGTTGTTCAGCTGTTCTTGAAAAGCAATTTTCAGTTAAGGTGATGTTATCGGTTTAGTTTTCAGTGAATTTACAGTAGATTTTGTTTCACAAATACTAGACAACTAGTTGGAATCTGAACCCAATTTTTTTTTTACAATATCTTTGATATGCTATTAGTGTCCGGAACTTATAAAATTGGAGAAAAAATGACCTGTTTTGCTCTAATAAAATTGCAAATATGCTCAAAATCACACTAATATTAGGTCCAACTGTGCCGACCATAGTTATAAAATTCACATTAAAGTAAGTCATGGACATTTTTTGAAATGTTTACATGATATTTCAAAAAGAAAAAAAAAATGTTCGATTTATAAAACTTCATAATTTTGGTTTAAAACTGATCATGTTTGAAGCGTTATTTTATCCGTTCCATTTGATGTCTCTTACAGCGGTCTCTCTCGGGTTGGGATATAACACCCACCGAACGTTCTTGGACCGATGGGATAATTTATTACTTCCGACATCTTTTCGGTGACAAATTTAATCTTTGCATAAATTTACTTCAGTGTAGTTAGTGAACTCGTTGTGACCACTGAAATATATAGAGTAAATTTTGAAATCGGACGAAAATCGAAGATTCCAGTTTCAAAGTCACGAAAAAGTCGAAAAAACTTTTATCAGAATTATTATGTCAAAAACTTACTAAAAGTACAGACAAAAAATGCAGTTTAATCATCATTTGATTAGTTTTACTATTATTATGCTTTTATTCCCTAATTTCTGTACATATAAATATTATTGTTTTTATACACTTACATAAAGTGTAATTCAATGTTACTAATAGAAATTTTATTATTGTTACTTTATATGATCACCAATCTTATTGCTTCTCGGCTTTTTGTCAAAGATCAAAGTGTATTACGTGAAATAATTTTATTTTGTTGAATAAAAGATTACCATAAACCTTATAATTAGCCGGATAACCATTCAGTATACACAGGTAGTTTCTATACCTCTTTAGTTTGAACTTAGCCGATACTAACCAGATAGGGAACCAGTTATAATTGAAATATGTAAACCAACTAATTGAAGTGCTTAGTTTTAAGTAAAAGAATTGGGTACATTTATAAATACGCATAAATAAAAACGAAACAAATTATTGGTCTCTAGTTTATTTTATTATTTGCATTTCATCATGACATATAGGACCGTACTGATGCCGAAATTGGTGATTTTTTTGTTGCATTTCAGTATAGGGACACACTCAGTAGAACCATTTGGACACTTAAAATTAATTTCGTTTTACTTGCCACAAATCTTTTTAAGTGTTGCGAAAGTGATTATTTTGTGTCCGAAAAATAACTAATTTTTCGGCTGAATGCGTTTTTTGTTGTAAATCAATCAGTCTCCCAATTAGATTATAATTGCTTGGACTTACTATTTGTTGTCTTAATTTTTCGAAGTTCATTTTTGTACACATTCAGATTTTTATTTCGTATTAATTTCTTGTGGTCATTTTTATAAATTCGTATATGAAAATTAAACTGTTGACGAACGAAAATCGAACAATAATACACGACAAGCGGGTGCCGAACTGTTACCAGAGATTATGGGTGTCATAAATTACACCCCAGCTTTCCTGAGTTTCAACCAGTTTACCACTACTTCTCTTCTTTATTTTTCTACACGCAAACTTCTTGTGAAGACAATAACACGGCAAAATAAAAAATCCGACAGTTTTCTTTTAGCAAACATCCCCTTAAGGAAATAATTTTTCTTGTTTGAAGCAGTTCGAAAGAATTTTGGGGACTTTTTGTGCCTGGTTTTTGAAGTAGTTTGAAAAAATCTCGACGGTCACAAAATTTTATAATTTGTTATCAAAAGGACACCAGGGACTTCAAAATTGTTTGATTTTTTTTTCAAAAATGAGTCAAATTTGACTTACAAAAATATATTACGTGTTTTGTTGAAGGACTTAATAGCGATAATAATTTCGTAACGCTTTCGAGTCACTATAATTATTAAGTTAGTGCGAATTATATTTTAAACTTATGTGTACTGATTACGTTACGACATGTAAATAAATAAGCCACTTATTTAAAAAAATGTCGCGAGTACACCATTCAATCTTAATTATTTTTACTGTCATTTGGGTCTTGATAATCGAAATTTGGATCTCCGTGAATATTCGTAGGATACATCGTCCGCCATGAGTTTCAAAGTCTTGTAACCGCTTAACCTTTATTGTAATTGTTCTTGCTTTCGTGTGACTGACATTTTAAAACCTAATTCGCTATTTTAAAGGTCGCGGGATTTCAGTGATCCAAATCTCTGTTACAACCAGATAAGGCTTGTAATTTGAAGATGCTAAGGTTAAATTCTCGTACGTTTTCTATCGTGTTTGAATAAATCTGTGAATGTCACAGGAGGTACCGATTGATCGTTCAAGGAGTGGTAATTGAAAATTTTTGACAACGTAAACACAGCACCAAACTGTCTCGTGCGATTAGAACAAATAAAAATAAAACGCATATTAAACAAAGCCATCTAGTACTTTGAAGTTTATTGTCGTCACAAACTCATTATCAGAGTTTACAGTTTATTTTGCATCCCTAAACTCCGTAATCCCGCAAAGTGGAATATTCTCGGCGAACTTCATCAACATGTCTAATCTCTTAATTTCTCCGTTCGTTGGCGAAGTTTTTGCAACAAGTTTTTTCACTTTGATGTTTTAAAATAAACTAAAAGTTCCAGATGCAGCCGGAACTTCGGAAATTGGCGAATTTGTTTGAAACGAAATTCGCAAACTACACTCGAAACAAGTTGAATTTCAACGCTTTCTCGTACTTGTTTTTTTTTTAATATTAAGTGGCAATATCTGGCGCGGATCAATACCGCGTCAAAGCAAAAGAAAACAAGACGGAGGCAGCTAATAGCAGCCGCAAGAAATCTAATAAGATTTGTCGTAGTTTC